TTTTAAATTACAATTTTATATTGTTAAATGTAGCATCTTTAGTTCATAGTATTCTCTAATTATTTACTATGATGTTAGAAAACTCGGAAAAAGAAATATCATGAATATGTTTGAACACATATTGATTTTAATCTTGTTTAATTTGACATTATGGTAGGTCGTTAAGATTGCTTTTCAATGTTACGCATACACAATCACACGTATGTATGTATATTCTCGATAAGAAAAAAGAAAAAGAAATATCGTCTTGGAACGATAAATTGAATAACATTATAAATATACATCAAGATTGATTATTAAATTTATTTCAAAGTATGATTTAGATCGTTAAAAGAAAAACAGATTATGAAAGATGGATACATTTATTTAAATCAGTTACTTATAATAAAATCTTACATTTTTATAGAGTGAACTTTTGAATCTGACCTAGGCGAGTATACGTAGAAATTACACATACACACACACACATGTAGCATAATAATAAATATGGGCGCACCTTTTCACCTGGCGATTCCTTGTAAAACGATCGAAACGTTCACAGGCTAATCCCTGACGACGACTTTCTAAACCGCAACGAATACAACGCGCACGCTCTGGCCACGTGGCTTCGATAATTCGTTTCACTGAAAGAACTGGTAAACAAGCTTTAAATCGGATGAACAACTTTCCGTCTCGCTGTACAACATTTCGGCTATTTTTTATTCTTTTTATTTTTATTATCATTCAGTTTTGTTATTTCTTTTCTTTTGTTTCTTTTGTTTTTTTTTTGTTGTTGCAATTTTATATAATCAAATTGGTCCAATAATCGCATCAATTTTTCATTTTATCTTAAGCAAACAATATGGCAGATGTTGCACGTTCAAAATATATACGCGTGAACAATTTGTTTGAGATATAAATTTTATTATTTGTTAATAATTTTATCGCCTAATGTGAATTTTTGAATGACGCAAAAAGTAACTGTTAATTTTACGGTTTCTTTACCAATATTGTTTGTGTATGAGAGTTTACTCAATAAAACTAAGTTTGAATTAGTTGTGTCAACTCACTAGTCATTTTTTCTTTTTAACACGAAAGGAGGGGGGACCTTTTTGATTAAAACGGGGTCTTGAATTTGGGGTCCCAAAAACCATGCCTAAATTCGCCCCTGAAGTGTTGTTTGATTTTTATTGTGGCAAAAAAAAAAAAAAAATAAAATAACAACAGGGAACGTTATCTTACGTATACGTATATAAATAAATATTGTAATCGAAACTTTCTTTATGCAAAAAGGTTTCCTTATCTTTTAGCATTAAACGAACGGAACGAGGTCGTCTTCGACCCTGGAAAGGCAAAGAAAGGTTTTCGTATTTGTAACGAAGGCTAACGTGATTTACACTACGTTCATTCTCGACATGTAGGTTTACGACAATAATGAAAAATATTTTCTAACAATGTTAGTTATTGTACGAAATGAAGCAGAACTATTTCAGACTAGTTATTTCACAAAAATTCCGCTCGACCGATTTTCATTTAGATAATTATACTTCAATCGTTGTTACCTAATACATAATCTTAATACTAAAGCTATTGTTTTCATTACAGTAATTAAGAATGTATTGTAAGGATAATTTTTACAAATATTTCAACTAGACGAGTTTTTTCATTCCTTGTATTTCAGTATCATATAAAATTCATGAATATTTTTCATTTAATATTACATGCATCATCATCATTATCATTATTATCATCAATTAGTGTTATTATTTTTTTTGTTATTATTTATCTTAAGAGATTAATGATCCTGTTTTTTTTCTTCGATTCCATAGAATGAGGTATTGGTAATAAATTTTCTATCAAATCATTTAATCATTCTTCGTTGCCATTGTAATAGAAAATAATTTATTGTTGTCTTACAATCTTAAATTGTTCTTATTGCTGTTGTAATTTTTAATAGAATTATTTTTACAACTTTTGCATGCATACGTGTGTCTAAATTTATTGTCAAAGTACAGTAAAGGTTTGATTTTGTTATTGTCTTTCAATCAATTTGTAAACATATTTTGCATTTTTCTTATTGGATAAACGATTCAGAGCTAAAATGAATTATAAATTCATTCAGTGAATCATCCTACATATATTATAAGTCTGATTGATATAAATCCTGATTTGATGTTGCTAATGTTTCTTTGGATATTGATTGTGGTGTTCCAGTTTTTCCTGTATTTATGTATTTTTATTAGTTCACTTATTACTTTATCAATGTCGTGGTTTGTGATACAAATTCCAACAGTACGACATACTTATATATTTTTGTTACTTATTGCTTCACCAATGTTATGTATATGAGTGTAAGACACGAGTATATCAATTACATATTTTATACTATTTATTTAATTTTGTAACATGATATTTGATCTATTATGTATTACATATAACAATTTCTATGTTTGTTAACTGAGTAATCGTTGGTTCATATTTCATCTTTTATTATTATTATTATTATTATTATTATTATTATTATTATTATTTTGATTAATTAATCATCATTTTCATTATTATTATAACATAGGATATTCGTGACGCTTTTATGCATACATTATACGTGTTGGGAGTTCGTCAAAGCTGACATAGCATATCCGTGACCGTTTTGTTCGGTTTCTTTTTTTTTCGCGGATCAATTTACAAACAATGTCGTAGACAGAAAAAGAGAGAGAAAGAAAGAGAACCATGGAGGGGGGGGGGAGAAAAAAAACGGGCCGAATAACTGCTTTATTTTGAAAAGTAGAACATATGGTTCCGGACGAAAGTTGTCGTATTTGATTTTTTTTACAAAATTACATGACGCAGAAAATAAACCAAACAATTTCTTATCTAAAAGAAAACAAAATATTTAATCCTTTTTTTCATTCTTTCGTTGAAATGAAACAAAAATTGTAGTTTTTGTCGAGTATCGCGTATTTGAAGCTAAAAAATTCGGAATAAAAGAAAACCGAAAGTAAATACCAAGGATTCTGTTCTCACGAACTGAAATTCCAGAAGAATAATTGGGTAAAGAGTAACGGGGATGGGGAGGGGGAGGGGGAGGAAGGAAGGAATTTGATTTGATCTTATGGCGCCGGAAAGAAAATTGGTGGCGCTAAGAAAAATATTTCGTTCCCGATTAAAATTAAAGTTTGAAGGACGTTTATACTCGGCAGGAGGATAACTGGTACAGCCCACTTACGATTATTCTTACGGCTTAGTCGTCGTTGTTGGTTCGCGAGGTGAATTCCACCCGAGAGCCAAGGTTTTGCGGATCGAGTTTCTGCATTTTCATCGTGAAAGTCGACATCGGTCTCGCGATTAAACGACAAAAAGAAATAGCAAAGAAGAAGAAGAAACGAATAAGAAAGGAGAGGAGGCGCCTTGCATCATTTATTATTTTTTTTTTTTAACTTACCGTCTAACCTTTTGCAAGCAATTGCAAATTTAGTTTCTACCGACGAGTCTAAAATCTAACATCTAGCATTTTTTTTTTGGTTAGTTTTTCTTGTTGTTAGGTAATAAAAATTATAACGATGAGTGATGCGAGCGAGAAAATAGAATAAAATTTATTTTACGATTTATTTACGATTTTTTTTTTTTTTGCAACTTGTAGACCATTTTTTCAAAATTGTCTGCACCATTTTCTTTTTTTTTTTTTTTTTTTAATTTTAAATGAAAATATTGAGTTGGCAAGAAAGTAATTTTGGCTTGCACCAATAAATAGCGTTATGTTTGTTTCGTTATTCTTTTGTTAATGTTAACATTTTTTAGTTATTTAATTTAAAGTTCATTTTTTTTTGTTTGTATAAAAACAATTAAGTTTTATTTCACACTAGAAAACCGAAATGACTTTCTTACCAACCCAATATAATCATTTATATTAACTTTCATTTTCTTTTTTATCAAATCATTCGTACAAACAATAATTATCCTTTCTTTTTTAGAAAAGTTTTGCGAAATAATCAATGATTCGTGATAGTAAAGTTAAATGAAACACATAGAAGAGTTAACTCGTGATGAACTTCGAAGGTATAGTTAATGACCCATCGATATGTATTGTACAAAATACACACACGTGTGCTTATAATTGGATTCAATTATTGAAAAAGCGCAAAATTCGTACAGTAATTCTATCAATCGCAACAAATGATCGTTAATTGCGATCGATTAGAGTTGAGTCATCATAGTACGCACGTGGCTAGTGCTATTGATTATCTGTTTACGTATGAGTGTTATTTGTGTGTGCCATGTGCGTGTGTATGCGCGTTCAGAATGAACAACCCGATCAAGAGATCAGATTTRTTTTACAAATATTCAGACTAATGAACAAATGATTAGCTTGTGTTTAATTAGTGTTTTGATTCATTAGCAAAACTTAATTAATACTTTTTTTGAAAAGTTCAATGTGTCATTGAAATATTTCATTTTAAATGTGGCCAATGTATTTTTCAATTGAAAGGATCTTCCTTTAATTTTTCGTCTTTTGTTTATTTCATTGCATCTTTTTTTTGTAAATTTTTTGTTTTTAGAATTAAGAATGTTGTTATTACAGCAATGATATGTTTTGTCGGAGAGACACGTTTGATGCGTTACTGATTACTCGGCACGTAGATTCTAAATATTTATTGAAGTGGCTGTGATTTTTGTCGTTGCATAGGTTCTTAGAAAAGTAGAGAATGCACAACTTAAATAGATTCTTAGTAACAGAAATAAATATTGTAAAAGATTAGATATGAATTGTAAACATCATTTTGTCAATTTTAATCATTTTATTTTTAATATAGTTATTTATTATTATTATTATTATTATTATTGTTGTTGTTGTTTAATTGGTTGTAATTATTTTAATCTAATTTGTCATATATGAATTCTTATTTATTTTAGTAATTAAAAAAGGCATACCTTTGACGTAATAGAAAATTTGTTAAAAATTTATCGAAACATTTGTTATCAATTTAGATAACAAATAAAAAACAAATAAATTTGTAAAAAAAAGAACATTTACGAGAAAAGAAAGCGTTGTCGCGCATATGTGTTATTTTATACAACACGAATTCTATTGTTATCGCCCCTACCTGGCACGACCGGATCCTCGCCGCTAGTTATGCAATGTATAGATTATATTTTGCCTTGTTTCACTTTGTAGCCTCGTCACCTTCGTGTCTATGTGCCATCTTTAAACAGTCACTACAAGAACGTCATTATAACCGAATAAGACGTTATTTTTTTTTTTTTTTCATTTTTTATAACCGAACGAGAACGAATTAACTCGTGAATTTGTTTTATAACTTTCGTACTTACGTATCCTAATAAATTTAGGGTTTAATTTGAACGTGTCGGTAAATTCATGTTAAACAAAAAAAATTGATTATCGATGATTTATTTTACGATTTTAAAATCAAAACAAACGAGGAGTAATTAATTAACATAAGAAATGGGGAAATAGTAGTCTAATAAAAGATCGTAAAAGAGATTGATTTATTTTCGAATCGATTGATCGAGATGGAAAGCAAGTTGTTCGTTAACGACGAATAAGAATAGGCATTCTAACCCGAGGTATGTTGAAAATAAACGTAAAACGGTGAGCGGGTGGTCGGGGTAAAGAAGATAAGAGGGTGTGGTCGAGGATCGGCGATCTCTCACAATCAGTGGCACTTAATTGGGATGCGCGACGCGGTTTGTGTCACGGCGCGGCACCGACCGGTCACGCACTCGAATCGATTACATCTACGACAAACGAATCTACGAGCGTGCTCTCCTACGTGTTCTTTTCCATTCTTATAATAAGACTAACGAAATAAGAAAGAGAGAAATGGACAGAGAAAGAAAGAGAGAGAGAAAGGAAGACGTATAGGACATAAATATATGTGTACGTAACATGTAATTATAATGCAGTAGTGCGAGCTTGTAATTTGAAATTTATGAATACTTTTAAACTCATCTACCTAACGCATTTTAATTATTTTATCATAAGTTCTTAACAATTTAAAGTAGTCAAAGATTATAAGGATCAAATTGGATCGTTCGTTTGATCCTAATTATTAAAATGTGACTGAACTAGGTTGTACCTTGCTTCGTATGTTTTTAATTTGATTCATTTACAAATTGAATATTAATTTATTAACAATATATTTTTTGGAGGATTATGAATATTCGTAAATTAATAACAATTATTTTCATTAACTTATCTATGCATAGATACTTGTATTTTGTATATGTGCACGTTACATTAAATACAAGAATCTACTAACAACAACAACAACAACAACGACGACGATGATGCAGTTGCTTGGTGCAACTCGGCTTTGAGGTTATCCGCAAGGACATCCACATAACTCATGCTCGGTGTTAACTCAAGCTGATCGACTTGCGTCGATTCGAAAGTGCAAGGCGAATCGCTTCTACCTTCTCAATTCCCTCGCCCTCGCTATTTTCATTAAACTTAAACCATTCATTCAAGTTACGTGTCTTAATCCGTCAACGTAATTATGACGACTCAATATATTTGAGGATTATTTTTAAAATTATTTCATCATCTCGATAAAATCCTACGTAATAAGAAAAAAACGAAATATCTTTAATGAATCATTAATTAACGAAAGTATAAATAATTGGCCATTATAATAAATCGTAGAAATAATACGTGATCGTTAAACAACTTATACTTTTCCTGATATCGAATTAAACAATATTACAACTCATTTTTGATCATCCAGTCAGAAAATGAAAGAAATTATTATGCGACTGCGATTATATTACGAAATTATGCATAAATTCACGTACGAATAAGTCAAAATTGTTGGATGGAAAGAATACTGTAATATTCTTTTAGTCATCGCTCTGATAAAATTATCATTTATTTTGCATGTCTCTTAGTATTTCTTTTGTTTTCTTTGGAAAATAAAAGGAAAACCTGTTTGACAAGAAGCGTGATCTGTAAAAATAAAAATAAAAAACTAATTATTTATTCTAATTACTTTCATTCATTCTTTTATTCACGACTTTAGGACAAATAACATCGGTCTATAATGATTAATAAATTCATTCGAAAAAAAAAGAAAAAATGAGAATACTAAATAAAGGAAAAGTCGTCTGGTTTGTGCTAATTTACAAAACAAAATAAACAAAACAAAGGATTAACTTGAATGTTCAAAATAGAAAATAATACTGTGCATTTTAGAAGAGGAAATTTATCAAGGTAAGCCGCTGAAGTTGAACTTAATGACATCAGGCTTTGTTCAAAAACGACTCTGACAGGTTTGACGTCACGTGTAAGATATTAACTTGACATACTCACGAAGAATAAAAGATAAAGCACGTTCGATCGGTTTCGATCATTATGATTTTTACGAGAACTTTCGAAGCGCATATAAGAATGCAGTACGTAGTTAGGCATGTAGTAAAAGGTATGTTTTAATCGTTAATAAATAATAATAATAAAAAAAAGGTAGTTTTACAATTTGTATCCCCATTAAAGTAACAACGAACATTTTCCAAAATATTTTATTTTTACGTGTTCGAGAAACATGTGTTGCTGTAACCATGTGTAGTGATCGCATTGTTTCATATTTTTATTTGATTTTTTTTACTCCAATACAGAGGATAACACATTTGAGGGATGATATTTATTGTTGGTCATAGAAAATTCGGATAAACTTATTGTTTCTGTAGTAGATAGAAGGCTTAATGCGAACAATAGCAACAACAAGTGATCTGGCAATTAAGTTGGCACAGGAAGTTCTATACGTCAGCATATAGTCAGAATAGTATTCTCTCCCTCTCTCTCTCTCTCTCTCTCTCTGTGGTATATTATAAAGAGCGACGTGTACGTGCAAACGATGTAGTGACGGAGACGTATTGCCATAATCTCTGCACGCATCGGTGTATTCTATTCTATGAAAGGTAGGAGAAAATTGCATAAATATAATCAATGTTTGAACGAGGATGAATCGCCGAGGTAGTTACCGAGACTCTTACGTGCTGTACTACGATTATAATTGTACGCACTCGTGCAGATCGTTTTCATCAAGTAGATACTACCGGTAGCGAGAAATAGTCGATGTTGTTCTCGATCGCGATAGAAAATAGTAAACGGTATATCTTTAAACCAATGCAAAGTTAGTTTTTCGATCGGTTAGGTACAACTCGTTGTATATACCGCATATATCATTTGTCATTATCGGATAATCACCTTGGAAGTCATACACAATTCATAGGTGAGTCACGCATGAATTTTCATCATTTTTATGAGTCGATAATAATGGTCGGCGCATTTCGACGTTGTTAAAAAAGCTTTGCTTACCTAGATCGTCTTGAACGACTACGATAAGAAATATTTCTTTACACGTATACACAACAATCATTGTACTATTTCAATTTTGCAACAACGATAAATAATTTATACGAAAAAAAAAGAAAAACAGAAATAAAATATTAAAAAGATATTCGTTATTATTTCGCAGGTAGCCGAAACGTAAAATGGTGGCTTCGCAGAATGACGGGGGAAGAAGTGTGGGCGGCGGGGGTGAAAGCGAAACCGTTTACACGGTGACGGTGAGTGGTGTGGGTTACAGAAACGAAGGATACAAGGACGATGGTAACGACTGTATACCACCGGAACCACAAAAACCACCGCAGTTACCACCACCGGAAGATGATACGCAATCAAGGAGATTTAGACTTTCCCGGGATGAGAAGTGGCGAATTTTGAAGAACATTGGAACAGTCTCGGTAGCGTTTATGGTGCAATTTACTGCGTTCCAAGGGACAGCTAATCTTCAATCGTCGATAAATGCGAGCGACGGTCTCGGAACTGTTTCCCTTTCGGCGATTTACGCAGCCCTCGTGCTATCTTGCATTTTCGTACCGACATTTCTCATCAAGAGGTTAACCGTTAAATGGACGCTATGCTTGTCGATGCTTTGTTACGCGCCATACATCGGTTCACAATTTTATCCAAGATTCTACACCCTAGTGCCGGCTGGGGTCTTGCTCGGTCTCGGTGCTGCACCAATGTGGGCAGCAAAAGCAACATATCTGACACAAGTCGGTGGTGTTTATGCGAAACTCACAGATCAACCGGTCGATGCAATCGTCGTCAGATTTTTTGGATTCTTCTTTCTTGCATGGCAAACTGCTGAACTATGGGGAAATCTCATATCTTCACTCGGTAAGTTGTTTATCTATGTTATTATCATTTCTTTCTCTTCTTTCAACTTTTCGCACTATTCCAATTAATATAGTTTAGCGCGTTGTGTAGTAGTAGTAGTAAACGCTAGCGTGTTGTCCGTTTTACTTAACACTTTTCTCCGCTTATTCAGAGATTTGAATGAATGGGCAAGGCAGGTCGTATCCAATCGCGGAGCGCCGGCTATTAGTATTAAAGTAGTTCATGATTGATACAAGGAAGTCAGACGATGACCGATCAAACGCGAACTCTTTCCCTTAGCAAGCCATACTAAGGATGGCTTTCGTTATACACACGCGTATAGATCTCACAAACGATGCGACGTTTGTCTGTCGTTGTTAAAGAGAGAGAAAGAGAGAAAGAGAGAGAGTGAGCGAGTGAGAGCGATAAGGAACGCAAGAAGAAACAAGATTTATCCGGTATAAACTCGCGATAGTCGGTTTCCGTACCACTTCGTACACATTCTCCGATACCGTGTTGTTAGCTACCAATAATCCTATCCTTTCTTTTTTTTCTCGATTTCTTTTCTTTGTCCTCTCTCTCTCTCTCTCTCTCTCTCTCTTTTTCTCTTAGTCGTCTAATAAACTAAAACCATAAACAGATTAATTCGATGTTTAATTAGTAAACAAATTTTCTCACGGTAAAATGTACCAATTATCCTCTTTGAAAATATTCAAAGTCTTATTTGTTGTTTTTAACAAAATTCCTCGGTAGATTTGAATTTTCGCGCCGTGATATTCCATTAACCGTTATCATTGATAAAGTATAGAGAATTGACATAAGCTCGTACGAGTCGCGCGGGAAAAGATCTTTTAAAAACGGTATAATACCTATTATTAGCATTGCCACTACGGTGAAAGTTTTCTCCTCTCGCGTTGAGTTCTTGAATATGTGTGTGTGTGTGCGTATGTAGCGTGCTAGCAGGTATGCGTCTATTGGCCAACGTGAATTCCACAATGGCGTTTGAGTTTCGCGCGCATGGAATATTATTAGGTTATCGCTAGAGTCATTTAAATACTTTAGGAAAATTCGATTTACAACACGATACTAAAATAAGTCAAATTATTATTAAATGTATAAGTAATCAATTAATTTTTAATTAATTACATCATTTTAATCATTATCTATCTTCTTGTCAATTTTTAGTATCTCGTTTGTACAAATTTCTTAACTGTGATAAAAAATATCTGATGCAAGTAATGACGAAAGTATTTTTAGCCTATGGTATATCATATATTTTGACATGTCAACTAAAGCAAAGATATTAATGCATCATTGTCTGTATTCAGTAGATAACCTACTTGAGATAGCTATCACATTTAAAACAATTAGCAATGAACAATTTTCTGAACCATTGTTGGGGTCTAGCAGCTTTCAAGAGATATCATAAATTGTTGTTGTCAATGTGTTAAATCTTGATAAAAAAATAAAGTAGCATGCAATAATGTATTTATAGAGTCTACCATTTTATTTTTAAATTATAGAAATCTTTTGTTTTATATATAAAACAATAAATCCATAATCTGTCTCTTGCGACAAACGATAACAAAATGTATTTTTTATCTCGTTAAAGACTTAAATTAAAATTAATTTCTTTATTAATAAAGAATCAACGATTTCTAATTCCCGTGTTACTAATTGATAATTAAGTTATTTTTTTGTACAAACGAGATGATTAAATTTAAAATAAATGAACGTTTGTTATTCTCATCCCAACGTTTTATTTTTTTTTTTATCAAATTTACGATGAAAAGTAATTTATCGTTAGAAATATTCTTCGTCGTAACAATAAATATTAAAAAAAAAAAAAAAGGTTTCTTATAAATTAGAAAAAAAAATGCGATTTTTCAATTCAAGAAGAATTCGATTCGAGACACGTATGTCTGAAAAAGAAAATAAAAGTTTAACACGTTTCAATTGTCGTGTACGATAATTTCGACATAAGAGACAAGGAGAGACTTCAAGTTACTCGATAATAACATTTCTTCAACGTGAAGGGTTAGAATTTGTGTTAATAACTAATTATTAATCGTTCGTTCCTATACATTGTTTATAAATAAGCTTTAATAATTTTTTAACATCACAGGATCAATTCTAAAATTGTTTTTACGATTTAAACGATTTTAATTTATTGTTTGATATATTGTAAAAATTTGTAAAATATCTGATGAATTCTATTCATGTATTATTAATACATATTTGTCAAATTTGATCATTCGTTCTTTCTGATAGATGGATATTTATAATCGGAACGAATTCAATTAATTTTCTCAATAAATCATTAAACTATGAACAAGATAATCACATAATTTATTCCATAATTTATATTCTTATAAACAAACATATATCACTCAAATTTTCAATCATACGTTTTCTCTTATCTTGATTGACCTAGATAACAACATTTATTTACAAAAAAAAAAAAAATTGTTATAAATATGTCCGTTGAAAATGAGACTACTGATTGTTCAGATTTAAGATTTCATATTGCAATAAATTATCGCAAGATAATATGAAGTCAAATGTGATCGAATAATAAATCTGTATCTTACAAATTAGATAAAACGATTTGTTCAAAGTGTCGTGCTAATATTTGTTACAAATTTTCTACTCGACGAAAAAGTATTTGAAAACATGATTCGGTTTCTACGAATTTTGGAAAATAAAACGAATTGCAGTATAATTCATTTAAAACGTATGAGTTTTGACGTAGAAGTTTCATTGTACAAATAAGTTTGTCACTCGTTGTACATATAGTTAAAGATGATAATATATGTTTCATTTATTTGGTGGTAGTTGTTGTTTATGTTATCAAGCTTCCAGAGAAAAGATCCTTCTAGAAAAGTCGAAGTAAATGCCAGGAAACGATAGGACGGATGAGAGAGCACGTTGATCGTTTCCTTCTTTGCATAGTCGTGTATATATCAATGCGTTAACAGCGTTTATACAGCTGCGAATGAGACGCTTTCTCGTTATCATTAAGAGTATGCCATTTTGTACCATGTGTATGATAGATCGAGAGATTTGCGAGTTTGTTATCGATTGTTCAATAAGTTCATTTATTCTCATATATCATTAGAAAAATCTCAACTAATATTTCGCCGTTAGTATCATTGAAACAAAGAAACATAACGTTTCAATCAAAATTAATACATTCGTGATTAAAAATGCAATTCTATACGTCATCTTCAATTTTTTAAATGAATAATACCCTTGACGTATTAGTGTGTACTACGTTATTATAATATTATTCAATTTTAATTGTTAATTTGATTATTTCAATGTTGTTTCATTGTTTGTTTGTTTTATAATTATATTTTCTCGTTAACATTTTTAACCGAGGACAACGATCGTCGTGTACTTGATAATAAATGATGCAAATTAATTTAAATTTGATGCATCATTAATTTTTTTTTTTTTTTTGTTTTTTTCATTCAAGATGATATATTCGGGATTCCCTATCTTTAATAATCGTTTAATAAGCAAATTGTTACTTTGTGTATTTAACGTTATTACGTAAAACATAAAATGTTTTTTCAATTAGAAACTTATATTCGTTTAATAATAATAATAATAATAATAATAATAATAATATTAATAATATTATAGTAAATTATAAATAATATATACATAATATTATCTTGATAAGTATTATACTACTTAATTTTAAGTGTATGCGTCATCCTTCGAAATAATTCTTAAATCTTTGATCAGTAATCGCTAATTATTGATAATATTATTTCTTCATTTATTAATACATTTAATATTTCAAACAAATTATCTGCAGTATTCGACTAAACGTTATGTAATAATATGTTGCAGAGTATAAAATCATATATGCCGCGTTTTCGATTTAAAAGATATTTACCTCATTTACATCGTCCTTTTGAAAATGAATTAAAATAAAACTTGTGAATGATAATTGTCTCAAAAACAATGCAAAAAATATTAAAAAAAAAAAAATATTTAAATATTTACGATCATTTGAAACACCTTGAATTTTAAGTACGAACAAAATGTTTATATATGCCGTTGAGAAATAAACTAAAATTATTTTTCGAAAAATAATGTAATAACAAGAAAACAAAAAATAAGAAAATTAGGTATGAAAAATAAAAAATAAAGATCCTAAAACGATGATTCGATTGTGTCTCGTATAATATAAATTGTTACGGGTGTAATACCGTTGATTACCATGAGACACCGGTCTAACCGTGACATCGATATCTCTCGATCACTTGAAACGTGGAGAGAGCCAATAAGCAAGCACAATCGATTTACGATCGACTAACACATTCGTAGGTGAACATAACACGAACATGGTATCGCATATCCTCTACGATCCTATCAACACCTGATGATGCAACTTGATGTATAAGATCTCTCTCTCTCTCTCTTTCTCTCTTTCTTTTTCTTTTTCTCTTTCTCTTTCTCTGTTATCATAGTATTTATAATATCATCATTTCATACACCGTCGAGTTATCGATTTATACAAAGATTGATATAAAATTCATGTACATTATCATACAGAAAGTTTCGAATCGTTAGCTGATTTCCATTTAATTTATTTTTCAAAAGATTCTCAACATTTTTTTTACATCCACTAATGTTCTTTTATATAATTTACACGTTCAATTTAAACCAATACTCGATATGAACTTTCTTTTGTACAGAACATCCTTTGCTAACTTTTACTTTAGAAATATAAACAAATAATCCATTGGAAACTTAGAATAATATTTAAAATTTGTCTTTATGGGATTCTAAGTAATAGTTTCTTTTTTTTTTTTTTTTGAAAAGGTAATTCGTATATAAACATTCGTTTTTTGTTTGGAAACAAAGAAATAATGTAAAACGTCATTTTTCTTATTTATTGACTAATTATACTACCTCCGGTTATTTCAAATGTATTTATTTAGTTGTTTTTTGCTTATTAATGTTTTGTTTCTTTGAATTTATACGAAGATTTCAAACTCTTGGTTGTTAATGTAACTAAGCTTCTTCGTTTCTATATACTTGAGAATATGACACCTCGATAGAATACGATCGAGTCAGGCCGTGATTTCCGGTGTAATACTGTAATCAACCTTTTCGATCTTTTCTCTAACATCACCTTGACGACGGAACTATCAATTAAAGCCCGTACAAAGCGCGTATTTTAATGTGAAAAGCAAAACATTTTTGTTTCTACGAATATTATATTATATTGCGATTTCTCTTTAAATTTATATTCCACTGTTTTCATTTTTTTCTTCTTATATTTTACTTTCTTATAAATTAAGCATTCAATTTAATTACATTTTATTTATTTCTTTTTTTTAGTACTGAGTGAGGGAGAATTTGGCAGCAGTGGTGGCAACAGTACAACCAGTTGGAATAAAATCAAATTATGTGGTGCTGAATTTTGCGTATTCGGCAATGGGGCACACGAAAACTTGGAGAGACCACCAGAATCAGAGATTTACAAAATCTCATCGATTTACTTGACTTGCGTCATCGTCGCAGTAATCATCGTCGCACTTTTCGTCGATCCTTTATCAAGGTAAGTAAACATTTTATTGTTTTTTTTTTTTTTACAATTTTTCTCCAATCTTATCTCTTTATCATCATTTCGTTCATCATATATTTCTAATAAACAAATTTCTAATTATTATTCTATAAAATGTTGAAAAGACAAGTCGGTACATTTTTAAATTTTCGAACGATCTTATTCTACGATTTTCATTTTATTTTATTTATCATTATTTGAGTCATAAGTTTAAAAAAGAATTTACTACACAAAATAATCTTAAACTTTCATAAAACGTTGAAGACACAAATCATCATTTTATCATCGAGTTTCATCCAATCCTATTTATCATATTACCAGTCATATTATTTTTACGATTAAATTTATATATATATATATATAAAAAAAAAAAAAAAATCATTTCAATCCATACTCAAATTCTGAAACAAAAAAGTACTAATAATTTCGTTTAATTTGAATTTTGATAAAAACCCTACTAAAAAAAAAAAAAAAAAAATCAAACGAAAAGGAAGAATAATTTGTATATGTCGGACCATTTCTCGGAATTTCGTTTGTATAATTCGTCGTCCGCAAAATAGTAGCAGAAGATGATACGAAGCGTCGTTTTTTTCCAGAGGAATATTACGAAACCCGCCTTAATGAGCGAGTATCGCGAGATCCGTGGGTATCCCCCTTCCCAACCCCCTTCTCTCTCTCTCTTTTTATTTCTCTCTCTCTCGACGCGATATCGCCATAAACATTGCTCTGTTCATGATTGCAAAATAGCGTACATCCTGACAGGATACATAGATGCAAAGCCACCGACCACGTCGTTACGTAATACCACGATCGTAACGATCGCGATTTGTACTTATTAAAAATACTACGACGGCTAATCCAAATTACACTTCGTTTCTTAAATACAAAACTTAAGCGGTTGATTTATAACTGCACATCAAACTAATGTGTCTGAATTGATAGAACAATTAATTTCGTTCCTTTATGTTTTTTTATTGTTCATTTTTTTTTTTTTTTTTATGGACTATAATACGATAGAACAAAAATAATAATAAAAGATAATTTTCGAAAAGGATTAGTCGGCGCCATAGGGGGAAAAAAAATAAAAATAAAAATAAAAAATAAATAATAAAAAAATTGTTTTAAGAAGTGATTAATAGCAACGAATCATCGTCCGAACGAGGAAATGAAATAAAAAGTGTTTTATTGAAAATTATTGATTAAATTGACTTGTAAATCACTAATCATTGCTGCGGGTACAAATGTCGAATGATTCAGAATAAATGCTTTTTTTTATTATTATTATTATTATTATTATTATTATTATTATTATTATTATTATTATTATATTTTCTCCCTATATTATGATAAAAATATTGTAATAGTATAAACACCTGGTTTAAAAAAGATATAGGTATGTGTATTGTGAAATCGACTGAATTTTTGGGGTATTTTTTTTTTTTTATTTTATTTATTTTCTTTATAAAAATTGATACCTAAAATATGTGTTGGTCGTGGAGAAAAACAGGTAAAAATACCAACAGCGTCGTTTCACTTATGCCGGATGTATGCAATATTTAATGGCAGCCCGTTGATCAAATTATTATAGTCGAAGTAGGTTGGCTGGATCATTTGATGTTGCGAAGGCTTCATAGAAAATCTCATTTTCGCGTGTTAGTTAAACGAGAATCTAACAACGAGTACGAGCACGTGCAAATTTACTATACCAAACTACTTGCAAAATTTCTTACTCATATTAAATGACACGATTATTAAGATACAAAAAGATGTCGTTAACGAACACTATATTTTTCGTACGATACGAATATAATTGTTTTATCTTAATAACATTTTTTTATTTTAATCACTCCCTCTAATATCGATCATTTTATTTAAATTCATAAACAATTTCATTTGTTCGTTGGTATACGAATTTAGTTGTCTTTCTTTTTCAATTTGTTTTTTATAGAACACAAAACGAAAAAGTTAGTAAAATACGATCAATAATCACGAATCTATAAAAATAATAAATAAATCCATGATAATATATTTAAATGAATTATAATAAACGAACTAAATTCCAATTGAATAACAAATTCTTGATATCTTCATAATAAACGATACTACACCGAAGTATAATGATTAATAATTAATTCTATATTTATTTTATATAATTTGAATAATTTATATTTGCATAATACAATTAATTGGTATCAATGAAAAATTTCTACGTTGATTAAAATGGCGGCTATCTTTTGAACTGTAGTAAAAAGATTGAAAAAAGGGATCATCGAAAAATGGAAAAATATTCATAAATAAATGTCGTGTTTGATTCGCCATTCTTTTATGACACATATCGTTTTATTTGTACGACTTTAAAACCGGAAACGGATATGTATCCTAGGTTCAAGAGAAACAAGTCTCTTTTTCTTTGATATCATGCGGCCCTGGGATATTACGAATTATAATTGACTACCTCTAATGATTCTTAACCACTTCGTGCAAGAAGCGGAGGGGATACTTTGAACGATCGCATGAATGAAGCACCGTGCCACCGGACGGCATTGCTCGGATTGCGTAATCAAACAGGAATTACAAAATTTGCATTTTTTGATCGATGCACGTGTAACTAAATGTGTATCTCTTTATTTTCCAATGTTACATTAAACTATTATGTTTCTTTTTAACGTTACTACATTCAATCAATGCTTTTTTTTTTATGTAATACGTTTATTTAATGCTTTCGTTAAATACACTTGTCGTTTATTTCAAATTTACGATCGACCCTTAAAATTGAATTTAATTATTTTTCTCTCAGATTCTTTGGAAATTAATTTAATGATTTTTTTCTTTTTCTTAAATAGAATCCTCACACATTCATTTAAAATTAAATTTTAATTAATTCTCTGATTGATTCTTTGAAAATCGATTTATTTCTTTGCTTTTTTGTTTTCTTTTGTTCAAATGCAATACTTAAAGTTAAATTTAATTATTTCTCAGATCAATTCCTTGCAACTTTATTTAATCATTTTTTTTTTTTTCAAACGGTGCTCTTAGAATTAAATATAATCATTTCTCGGATTGATTTTTTACAAACACATTAGTAATCGATTTAATCCTTTCGCTTAATAGCGAGTAGATAATGATTATACTGCCACTGCAGTGACGGGTCAATTGAAACTCATTGTCAGAGTTTAATATCTGCATTTTTTTTTTGTTATATCATGGAAGTTTATTTATTGTTTTTAATATATTATTTCAAATTAAATTACAAATAATTGTTAACAAATATCTAAACGGATAAATGTACTCTTTGTCAATTATTATTACCATTCGGTGTAAGTTTATTGTTCGTAATAACTAATTATATTTTTATTTGAAATCAAATTAAATAAAATTCTGAAGAAAAATCTTTATGCAAAAATTTAACAATAAAATATAATCATTTATTGTTAATAAAACAATGTTAGATGTTTGATAACTTTTAGTCAACGAATATAATTAATAAGAGTAACGAAATGTATAAATGTACGTTAAATGGTTGACTCGTATCCCTTAAAAGTAGGCAACGCATTGAACAGACGCAACATCTGAGTGTACGCTTATATGAATCTTCTCATCATGCTCGTTATTTTTCCTATTTTTATTTTCAATTAAAAAAAAAAAGAATAAAAAACACACAAGAATAAAGAAAACAAAGTCTGTGATATCTCCAGATACTACGAGCGATATTACGTAAAGTTGTTAGAAAAAGAGAGAGAGAAAGAGAGAGACGAACGTTAGATCCCAACGTGTCGCGTCGACGATGCCGATATCTTTTTCACATCATGGTAGTTTCAAGGCTACGAGTCGTAACGGTTCGTTCAAGCCAAGTCTTTTCTGCTCGGATGGAGAACTTATGCTCCTTCAAAGATCCTACCATTCTTTATTAGACTATCATTACTTTTCTTTATCCAAGCAAAAACTCGTACTAGTCATCCATGTGCCGATGGTAATTACGACAGTGAATTTAAGTGAACATAATTTTTTTTATTTTTATTTTTACAAATTCATTTTATCATTTATATATTCTATTAAGATAATTTATATAATAGAATAAAAAATTATAAACCATGATTTATTTTATGAACTTTGTTTTTTAATCAACTGTCGTAATTATAGACACGTATGATCATATTTGGTTTCTCTTGCATTCTTTCGTGTGTCGGTAATCATGATAATGAATATAAAAGTGAACAAATTTGAATATAATAAATTGTAAAATCATTTTTAAAAAAATTGTCTAACTTAATCCATCATTATAATCATTTGCATGTATGCTAGTTCGTTCAGTTTAACATTTTACCGTGATTCTTATTATAAAACAATAACTTGAGTAGGAAATAAATAAAAATGATATTAATCAACGAGAATGCATGTTTCTCGGATCATACTTAATGCAACAGAAAATAAATAGCGATCGAAAGCCTTTATCCTTGTGAAAGGAGATAAAACAACACTTGATGACCTTGCAAGGCTGAGTAGCCGATCGCGTATGTGATACCGTGAGAGAAATAGTAACAGCAATAATTAACACCTTTCTATACCCATTTACCTTTTTTCTGAAATTATTTTCTTCTTATCCTGACTACATGTATCTTACGTATCCATGATATGTAAAAGCTTTTTAAAGGAAAAAAAAAAAAAAGAAAAGAAATAATACAATTTATGATTGTAGAAATTTCCCGTTATGCACAATCACACGATCGTGAACCGTAAAGCAGCAGCTACAGAAACAGCAGCAGTTTTTCCGATTGAGAGGAAGTCGTTTGTTTCTCGAGCGATGCTGATCAATGAGTCAGTGTTTCGTTGAATTATGTATCTAGATTGCTTGGGAATGCATCTTACGCTTGTAATGTCCATTAGCTGCTCTCTTTCTCTCTTACTCTGTCTGGGTCTTTTTCCATTACTATGCTTGATACCAAGTAATGTGTAATAGTATAATAAAATTTTCATTAACATGCATGAACGCATTGCAAAAAAAAAAAAAAAACACGTAATTACGCGGATAATTCGAATTAACCAGAAATTCATTTTCTTCTTTTAACCCCAACACATCTACAAATTTCTCAGAAAAGTAATCAAGAAAATGAACGTAGGAAGAAAAAAAAAATAAAAGAACAAAAGCAAAAGATGCAACCAAGAGAGTTTGATTAGAATAAAAGAAAATTACGTAATAATAAGAACGGTTAGATGATAGGAATTGATGTTAATCTCATCGGGTTGTGCGTGCATGTATGCGTGTATGTGTGTGTGTGTTTGTGGGTTTTTTTTGAAAAGCCTAGGCGAGAACCGAGACCTCGAGATACCGCATTCGTACAACAAGCTCTTGTCCACCTCGAAAGTATCCGTAGCTTCGGCTGGTCCAAGAAAGTCAAACGGCAGAACGTGTTCTCTGGAATGCCGTCTGGGTTGGAACATTTGCCAAGAGAGGAGAACGTACGCTGTGCTGTTGTTGGGAGAACGCGTTAAGCCGTTTAATAGCGCCAACCTGAGATTTATCTTGCAAATTCGCTGTCGTAGTCTCTCCTCGGGACCTGGAGAATCGTTGGATGAACTACTCCAAGTTACCAACACGTTCATACTCAAGTATTGTAAGTTAGTTTTAGAAACTTTGTTTCTGGATTCTAATCATCGTCATCAACATCTTCGACTGAGTTGTTGGAATTCGTGTAACACTTGGACCACGATAAGAATTTCTTCTTGTATCGAATACCTTTGCATATTTTCAACAATCACCTGTTCTCATTTCTTTGACATATTTAATTCCTGTTTATAATATACGCATAAACAACAACAACAAACAGCAATAACAACAACAACAACGACAACAAAATTGGAAAATGGGAAAAGAAGTTTACAAAAAATATGTAAACAAATAGTAGCGTCCAACATCCGTTCATAAACGTAGTCGTCATTACAGTGCTTTTTAGTGGACGTAAACGACGTCATTAAATTTCTCGCGAGACCTCGAACTGTCGTTGATCGTAAACTCCCAATCGAGATAGCGAGATTAGAGTCTTGTTTTCGTGTCTTTCTTTTTTTTTTTTTTTTTTTTTTTTCTTTACGTCTTTCAATCAAACCATACATACACACATAGAAATACTATAATAAATGTCTCATGGTAAATTGAATTTTTTATGTGCAGATACGGGGAAAAGCAAAGACGTGCCGATAGTCAAGAACTCAGTGGTATTCAATTACTTTCGGCGACCGCTTATCAACTAAAGAAACCTTATCAACAGTTACTTATACCCATCACGGTATGGATCGGCATGGAGCAGGCCTTCATCGGTGCCGATTTTACTCAGGTAATATTTTTTTTTATTAGATAATAATTATACGTTAATAATATTGTTTTGACTGGAAAATACTGGCTAATTTACAAATATATATATATATATATATATAAACAAATTTTTTAAAATAATTTTCCTAACAAATTAATGATATTAATATTAGTTTATCCCGGAAATTACATGGCAATTCATAAATGCATACATTAGATTTCTATATTTAATAGACAAACAACATTTTCACAAAATTGGCAAACACTTTCCAGCCGATTGAACAGACGTTTGTACATTTAATTTGTTGTGTGTGTTTATTTTTTTTTTTTTTTAAATACCGATCTCGAGAAAATTTATATAATATACTGAAAATAATCATCGGTAAGAACTTTCTGGGAAAACCGATACTTACAATTAGTTAGTTCCAATCAGTGTACGTTCAGTTTTCGCTAACGTCGTACAGACAAGTCCAACGAAGTTGCGAGTAACCTACTTCTGAAGAAACTCGAAGGCTGAGCTGTAATGGAAGCTTCTCGTCGGTCGTTGAGCCGTATGACCGGTCGGTTGGTCGGTCGTTTGGTCGGTTTGTCTCTCCTCTCTCTCTCTCCCTCTACCTCTCCTTCTCCCTCTCTTTCTTCTTCTCCTACTCTTTTTCTCTTTCTTTTACTTACTTTTTACACTCTTCTCGCTGGCGCCAGAGATTATTTTTGCCGATCCGCTCAAACGATGTCGAAGAATCATCATTGGGCTATTTTATCCTTATTCTTAACCATTTCTCCTTCTTCTTCTTCGTGTCTTCCTTTCTTTTTACTTTTCTTTATCCCCCTTCCCCCATTTCATTACCATAATCTTTCTCCTCTTTTAACCTCTCAATCGTTCATGGTATGTGTATACGTGTATGGTTGCGAGTCAATACCACTGATATAAGTGAGAACTTTTATAAGAAGCGATCATCTTTTTCTACAAGAGTTATGGCATAGCAACCGTTGGCAAGGACGTTCGTTCGGAAAAGAAGACTCGGTCGACGTCCGACGATTTATATTTTTCGATACAATCCTTTCCGAGAATACATAATTCGTTAATTTCTTTTTAATATTATAAGAAATAATATAATCATTGGAAACGATACTTTTTTTTGTTCTTTTTTTTCTTTTTCTAAAAGATTTCTTCATTCGATTTCCTTGAATACTTATGACGAGTTTAGTCCCGTGTTATATGAATGTGTTGTTATGCGAAAGTTTTCACCTCGTGAGAATTTCACCTACTAGAAATAAACCTTACGTAAAAAGTATCGAGACACAATCGTGCAAATAATTTTAATCCGATCGCAAAATATTGGATTGAAATTTGTATTAAATAAAAATTATCATAGATATGTCCTGTCGATTTACAAATATATAAAAAAAAAACAGATGTGTGCAGATCACACACGGTAGAAGTGAAACTTTCAAAAAAAACCAAGCTTCGAGACGTGAATATATCGAAATAATTGAATTGTAATACAGTGCCATCTATTGAAAGAACCTTACAGAACCTAGATAACCTCTAAATAAAAATCTTTAAATTAGTAATAAAAAATAATAAAAAAAAAAATCGCGATAAAAATTGTGCTATGTGCTAAGTTGAAAAAAAAATCACGTGAAATAAAATAAATTTTATTAAGATAAGTTGAGTAGTTTCGAAATTATTAGTGGACAAACATATTGTGACATTGAATTTTTATCTATAGAATTTTATTAATTAATTAATTATTTTTGTTTCATCGATTTCACGTTCTTCCGTTTCACGATTTTCAAATCACCCTGATTCTAAAGAAATTTTCACTTCAATATATAAAAGTTTGATCTTGAAATTGTATTGACAAAATATCGGTACCAACATTCCAAGCAATCCGGTAATATGTAAGGAAATATAAATCGTTATTTTAACAGTTTTTCCAGTGTATATTTTTGTTCCAAAAAGAATAATAAAAAAGAAGAAGAAGAAGAAGAAGAAAAAAAAAAAGGAAACGAGTTGATTTATTTATAAGTAACGTAGATTTTACTTTAAAGGGAAACGAGAAACTCTGGTCGATACGTTGTTTAAAACTCGTTGCACGACGACGACAACGACGACAACGACGACGACGACTTCTTCGAGCTTCGAAGGCAAACTGGAAATGATAAAGAAAAAGAAAAGATAAAGAAGAAAAATAATCGTTGATTTTCTAGCCCTTCGAGGCTCCTCTTGACGTCATTGCACTTTCCATTCTAGTTTTAAAACCAAAGTTGTAGAAAATGTATCCGCGAAGTAAGCAAGGCGAAGGTCATCGGTCCTTGCGTTGGTAAGGATTCATCACGGCCAACCACTACCTTTTTCTAACTCCGTGTCATTTTCTTGCAAATCAACTTTTTCTTCATCTCTTTAGATACTTACAAACGCAACTAATGTGAATATATTTTAGTCATAAATGCATAAAAGTTACAATACATTTTATACATACAATATATACAATTCATATTGATTCATAAATGCATATGTTCAATTTTTATTACAACTTTTCATAAAATCGGCAACAAATATTTGGACAATATATATATTTACATGAATATAATAATATTATATTATTATTAATATTATATTAATATCTAAATAATAAATATATATATATATATATATATATATATATATATATATATAATAATATATTATATAATATAATTCATGAACTAATCGGTGAGTTACAAAATAATAAGTATTTTGAAAACATTCCTAATCAAAAAATAAATCTTTTTGTTAAAAATTAAATAACAACGTTCCAATAATAAATATAATAATATTTGTATAATATCCATTAAATTAAAGTTCTCAATAAAATCATAATAGTATTTGATTCTTCGTATGATTCTAAGGTATAATATAAGAGTTACAAATACGATAGAACTTTTTTTATTCTTCGTCTTGTTCGAATGAAAAAGGTACTCGGCCGCGTTAGGTTGGCGCGAAAAGTGCAACGACTGGTGCTATCGAAGAAACGAACGAACTTTTACGAACGAACGAACTCGTCTTAAAACTGGTCCGACGAGAGAGGAGTGCATTCGCCGATGAGGCCAGGTAATTGGGCAATTAAATGGCGAAAGAGAAATAAAGAGAGAAAGAGAGAAAGAAAGAGAGAGAGACGTTGACTCTTATCTCTTTTCCTCTTTTTCCTTTCCTCTCTCTTCTCCTCTCGTCACTCTTTCTCTCTATCAGACGTGTGCGCTTATGCACTGACTCCATTGAGTCAGCTGGCTCGATATAAATAGCTTGCGATCTTATTCTCGCGATACCGCTTCCAAACCTGAAATGTTATGTACCTGTATCTCTTCTTCACCTGCAACATCAGCATGCACGCACACGTGCATCTCCATTTAACCAGGCTCGATCTCGTGAACGCTTCAGGCTATACAGGATGATTCAGATATTAACGTTCATTCGTTCGTTCTCTTGAAAATGCATCTAACTAATAAAAAAATGTACATTTATTTATTTTTTTTTTTTTTTTTGAATCGACGTTTGCTTCATCCTTCGACGATAACGAGTATTTATATATTAATTTCTTTTGTTTTGTTCTATTGTATTATATTATTTGAAGTGATGTAGTATGAGCGAGAATCGTTGAAATATCATCTTATTGAATAAACAAAGTTAGTATATTTCTTGAGAAAAGAGCAATATCGATTGATCAGATATCGTCCTAAGTGCGAAGGCTCGTTCTTGAATACTCGATAATTCGAGTTCCTCGACCGAGGATGGAATTTAAATTTTATCGAAAGGATTTTCCCGATATATACGTCAAATAACAAGCTCGGCTCGTTAAACCTTACCCACCTATCGTGTTTATTTACTGCATACTCGCGTAATAATATATATCCATATATATATTTATGTACAGGACATATCTAAGTATAGATAATACTTATATATATATAAATAAGTACACAGTTACATTCATTGGTCTTAGAAATTATCCAGGAATTATTAGTGGAATAAATGTGAACAAAGTTGTAAATTAGTAATCTGTCCATGAAAATTCTTTGTCTAATAAACATTATAATGTAGCAATATCCAATATAATATAAAACATATTCGAACATCTTAGTATACTTTGATGAAATTCTTTAATTGGTATAGCGCGTTAAAAGAAACCGATTCCATTCGTGTTATTCTTCACTGTGCAAAGCTATAATACGTCATTTCAATGTCATTTTTCTACCACTTGTAGAAGTATCGTCCTTTCCATTCCAACGAATCCAGGGTCATGTAAGTCTTTGATTTCAAAATACCGGTTCGTGCATCGAGTACCTACGTCACGATTCGATCAGAGTCTGTCTTGTTTACAACTCTCCAACCATAAGCACACCCGATGTCGAACTGATTGGAACGATCATTATCTTTTTCCTTTGCCAATTTATTTCTAAATAATAACAAGTGACACGGTGAAAAGTCTCAAATGTTTTTATTTTTTTGAATAAATAATTGCATTTTTAATTTGTATTGTTAGAACTACGCGAATAACATTGGCAAACACAAAACTCATATATGCAGTTGTTGTAACATTGAATTGAATTTTTTTTTTTTACAAATTATTATTATTAATTAGTAATTTAGATGAACCATGGAAAAGGAAACACTGGTCCTTAAAGTTTGTTAAAAAGGAAAAATTTTAACAAATAATCTTTTTTTTATTGAGGATCATAGAAAATTTATAATATCGAGTTGCTTGAAAAATTTGGACCAATTTATAAATAGGAATACATACGATATATATTTTAATTTTTATAAAAATAATTTATATAATTAAATGATTGTATTTAAATTAAATAAATTTATAATTATAAATTTGTAATTTAAAAATAAAGAAACAAATAATAAAAAATGTATGTATAGTCGAGGAAATGTATAAATACTTTTATAAGTAATGCAATAGTTTGCATTTGGAATGCAAATAATATTGGTATAAGTAAATTTAATAATAAATAATATATTTAATAATAATAAATTTAATTTAAAATAACAATTTTTCAATAATTAATTCCAATAAAAATTTAATTGTAAATAACAATTAGTAATTATTTTTCTATGATGTGAATAAACACTATCTCTCTTGAGTTGTTCACTTAAAAAAATTAAATTTCAATTCCATTAGTAAATTTTATTGATCATTAATAGTGAAATCACTAAAGAGAAATAAAAAATCTTGAATTTTTTGTTTGCTTTCAGGCATACATCTCTTGCGTTCTGGGCGTTCACAAAGTGGGATACGTGATGATATGTTTTGGAGTGGTAAACGCAGGTTGTTCCTTGTTATTCGGTTCTCTCATGAAATTCGTAGGAAGACAGCCATTGATGGCACTTGGTGCCATCGTTCACGCCTGTCTAATAGTTGTGTTGCTTCTTTGGAAACCACGCCCGGATAACCCTTACATTTTTTATTCGGTTTCCGGTCTTTGGGGAGTCGGAGATGCTGTCTGGCAAACGCAAGTTAACGGTTAGTATTATTTAATAATTTATGATAAATATAACAGATCGGAATACAAATTGCTAATAATGATCGTTTTAGAATCTTAAATAATTTTCAAAATTCCTCCTTTTTTTTTCTTCAATCAATGACGAACGAATAATCGATATCGTAAAACTGAATTTTCCTTATTTCGTCCTATGTTCATTTTTATTTAATCTTCTCTGTGATAAACGTAAAAAAAGAAAACAATTTTAAATTTGCCTACGAAGAGATGAACACGTGTTCACGGACGTGATGTTTGCTTCCTTACAAAATGTTTTTTTTTTTTTTAACGATGTTATTTTTCAATTTTTTTTTTGTATCATCAATAGATAGACAAATAAACGTTTTTGCTCATGAATATCCTGAAATTTTTAGTCATTATGAATATGGAAAGGGTTATGATGAAAACACAGCTCCGGGTCCAACACTCGTCACTTTTTTTTCGCCGAATCGGACAGTTAAAGACGAAGGTGATTGGATTAAAACCTGTATATAACGTGTCAAGTTTTTGTGAGATATATCATTACGTCATAGGGTATAATAGCTTAGAATAACGGTTCTAATGAATTACATTAGTCTTACAATTAGAATAATCTATCAAAAGAATTCCAATATGTTTTCTTTTCTTTTTCTTTTTCTTTTTCTTTTTCCTATACCTCAATCATTTTTATCAATAAAAGCCTCATATAAATTAATAGCACATTAATACTCGTGATTTGTACGATTTTATGATATTTACATTGAACACAATACTTAACAAATTGAGAACTCGTTTGTCCAAAAAATAATCTCTTAAGTTGGTCAATAAGTATGTGAAATGTTGTCCAATAATTAATAAATAAATATTAAAAATTGCACACACTTATTAAAAAATTTAATTCTATTTCAAAAAACAAAAAAATAACATTCTAGATAATTGGATTTTTTTTCTTAATCTATCAAAATACACCGAAAGTATACAATTAACCTAACCTAATGCATATTATTGAAATAAAAAAAAAATATAATTAATAGTTAACGAGTTTCTTGTAAACCAATGAAGAGATACACTTGCCAAAACTCAAAATTTGTATACATTAAGTTTCCAAAATTTTACATAATAATAATAATAATAATAATAATAATAATAAAAACCCATAAATAATGATTTGTTCACAGGTCTGTACGGTACTCTCTTCAGGCGCAACAAGGAGGCCGCGTTTTCGAATTATAGGCTATGGGAAAGCGCAGGATTCGTGATCGCATACGCTTATAGTACGCATTTATGCGCCCGCATGAAGCTTTACGTACTATTGACCGTTTTGATGATTGGAACGATGGGATACATAATCGTCGAACTTTTGCACAGGCGTAAGCAAAGAAGGTTGAAGGCTATTGCCGAGGATCCAAAAGCTGCGCAAGCGGAAGCCAATCAACCGGAAGAGACAGACGACGAGAAGGACGATCTAGATGACGACATAATCATCACGCATCTTTGAACAATCGACAGATCGATTCGCTGAGCTTCGATGACGCGAAGGAAAAGGAAAAAAAAGGTGTGGTGGGGGAGGAGAGGGGCGGCAGGTTTTTTAGCCTTTTATCGCGTTCTCAACGGGGCTGAGAGGGGACAATAGATTATTTCGAACAATTTAGTGGACGATCTCGAGTGATTTCGAGTAAACCACATTTCTCCTTCTTTCCTTTCTTCCTATTCTCCTTTGTTTTTATTTTCTTCATTTTAAATTAAATTTAATCTTCTTTCCTCTTCCTCTTCCTCTTCTTCTTCTTCTTTTTCTTCTTATCTCAATTTTAAATACCAATCCTTTCTCCTCATCTTTTTGCGATGAAATCCGAGAAACGAAGTGAAAAGGTATACGCATGAAAAAAAAAAAGAAAGAAAAATAATAAAAAGAAAAAAGAAACGTAAATCATTAGACACGTAAAGATGGTCTTTCGCGATGAAACGGAAGTACCAATCTTCGTGAGCTACTCTTGGTTGTTCGCGTTTAAATAGAGTTCGGGATAGGAACGATGCCGTCCATTTATCTTTCCCATTGAATCACTTTGTTGTCTGTTAATCGATAAGGTAAAGATGCACTCTATTTTTTTTTTTTTTTAACAAATCTAAACTAAATCTAGTTAATCGAATTTTTCTCTAAAATAATTTCTTCGATGGTAGATGAATGAAAGAAATCCAAGAATATTGATCGCTGCGAAAGAAAGTAAAAAGTTAATAAAATATTCTCCGAATTTGTAATCATTTGAAAATAATAATCGAACATCATAAAAATTTATTGAAAACAGAAAAAAAGAAACTTTTGTGATGACCTAATATATAAACATAGGCGTGTCTACTCATTTGTTTCGGTAATTAAGACAATGAACTTGAGTCGAAAAAATAGTAATAATGAATTTTACGATTTATTCAATATATTACTAATATTTATAAAATAAATCGTAAAATAAATCATTCGCATATTTGTTTTTTTTTTCTGACTAATATAAGTCCGACTATCATAATTACTGGTCATATTTAGATACCATTGGCAAGATAAAAATGGTCTTTAGCGAAGATGAGTAGTATTTTCTAGATAAATAGGAACGTTCGTTCTGCCAGTTTTTCATTAAAAAAAAAAAAAAAATAAATAAATAAATAAATAAAAAAGAAGGAAAATCCCGTAGAGGAAACTTGCGACAATCCTGTCTTATGGCGACGATAATTCCCTATATAGACTACTACCGTCGTACCTATTTATAGGTATCGCTAACTACTTATCCGTCCGATGTGCGGAGAACCGACGCCGGTCCGGTCCAGTCCGGTCCGGTCAACATACGCCGGTCTCCAAACGAATATCTTCTTCATCCTTCTCTTTCTTCTTCTTCTTTGCTCCTCTTTCCAAACGGCTGATGGATACTCAGCCTCGTCTAAACCCGTTCCATCCGAGTATAGTCAAAGAAAGAAAGAAAAAGATAAAGAGAGAGAGAGAGAGAGAAAATATGCAATTTTCTTACCGACGATCGTCAGAGTTTAAATTCCGCGAGTCTCTTCCAACTAAAGGGGAGACTCCTCTTCTCTTCGGTGCATCCTTCTAAAGGGATATCTTAGGTCTTTTTTTTAAACGTCTGGCGCGAGACAAGGATTATTTTTAGAGTCCGGTTGTGTACACCGACGACTGCACAGGAGGAGTCACGCTATCGTTCGTTCCTTCATTCCTTCCTTCGTTCCTTCTTTCCTTCTTTCCTTCGATCGTTCGTTCGTTCGTTATTCAACGATGGAAGGCAATCGTTTATCTTCATCCGTATCCGATCGCCATAATTTCTCTCGTCTCGGAGGTCAGGAACCTTTCTGAGTATATTCCAAGGTAGGAAAATGTTCTCAAAGTACAACCTCATCCCATTCATCTCGTTAGCATCCTATCGTCATTCTTAGGAGCGCTCTTCTCTTCCTCCATCTTGTCATAAAACAAATCAATCTCCAATGTTTTCATTCGAAACAATTCTTTCGTAAAAACTTCAATGCTTTTTGCTGATGTTTTACACGAATCTCTTCAGTATTTGAATATTAGATTTATTGTTATTTCCCAATTACATATCTTTGACATTATTTCTTGTATTTATTACATGCTACTTGCGAGATCAACATTTTCTCGAAGAAGAAAAATAAAAAAAAATAAAAAAAACAATTAATCAGAGTGTCGAGATCGACCTTGTGTTTCATCGGTAAGAAAATCAAACGTCGTGTTTCTACGAACAATTTCTTCATACCCTTTCCAAATTCCTCTCGTGCTTCGTAGTGAAAGATTAAGAAATAAAAATATTACAGTAAATTATTTTATTCTTCGTGAGAAATATAATGAATTACTATTTCGAAAGATAAACTTAAGGAAAGGGAAAATTATTGTTTATATATAAATATCTTGGATAATATAAATGAAATTGAGAGAGAAATATTTTTCACGTTTTTCTCGTCTTTAAGCTTGGAAATGGATAGATGACCGCTACCACTGATAATCTATCAAGAAAAATTATCTATGTTACTTTTGTTCTTTCCTTCTATCTTGTTTCATCTATTCTTTACCTTCTTTTTTAATTTTTTTGATACTTACATTAGTCATTTAAGAAACTGGACCACAAAAACCGTAGTTGTTAGGAAACTGAAGTTTGCTCGATATATAAGAAACAAAAATAAAGAAAATAAAGAAGCCTGTAGATAAATATAATAATATTATTAAGGATAATAATTGTAATAGGGTTCCAATGATAAATATACGACGAAGTTAATAAGACAGCGGATAAAAATAAGCCTTTGTATACTTGCCGACGATTACTGATCAAATTAACGATCACGTACATCGTATTAAAAATGGTGTAGCACGTTTATTAAACTGGATAAAATGGAAGCCAGATCTGCTATTGAAAGAAAGCCTCGTTTCTTTGTGTTTAATAATATTTTTAACAATCTTTATCATATTTTTTGTAAGTTTCAAACAAGAATGTTATGAACCAATGATGAATATTATTCATTGACGAATACTATATATATATATATATATATATATATATATATATTTAATATATATTATAGTTACAATAAATCACAGAAGTATTCGTGCCCACCCTCAGAGATGGATCATTAACTTTGAGAGTCCTGGACTAACATTGTTTGGAGATCTATCTAATTAACCAAAGTTTGGATTAGTTATGGCGACTCATTCGCCATTTTGTCGACAATTGTTTTAATTATTTTTTTACCGCGAAGGGGGCCCTTTGATTGTATGAAATTCTGGGCTGCAACCCATTAGGATCAATTTGATATAAATGAAATTTACTTGTAATGGAAAGTTACAATATTGATATCAATTTTACAATCGAATAATCTTAAAATATGTATTTGTGTATAAAAACGTTGAAATATTGTATTACAAGCAAATAATAATTGTGATTATAATTAACAGCGGGTGTACGAATACTTCAGTGATTCGTTGTACATCGAATTTAAATATTTTATGAATTAGAGAATAAATAAAAAATATTTAAAAACTTGAACGATGATGTATATAATTCGTACATCGAACGTTCAAAAGACATTACAATTACATGAGTAATTTGTTCGACGAGCTACTATCACGTAGTTATAAAAAAAAAAATATAAAAATTGATTAAATAACGATGACATCCGCGATGTGATGACATTGTATAAATCAATTGTGTTGTTAATAAATTGCCTACAAACAAGATACTTTTAAATTTGATGTAATTGATATCTTATCAATTATTATAAATGTACATCATATATATATATATATATATTTTTTTTTTTTTAATATCAGGATGGATAAAACGATTTGAAAATTTCATTATCAATCATATTGATCGAATCTCAAAAGTTTTTTTTTTTTTAGTATATTCTTTTTTTATATTATCAAACTTTGTCTTACGTTATTTATAATCGTGAAAAGCGTCATAATTTTGCTTATAATTTGTCAAAGTTACGAGGCTTTCGCGATGCAATTTAAATCTGGTAAATTTCCTTATTCTTATAATTAGAACGAGATAAAAGATTAAATATCACTGATAAAATATTTTAATTATTAATAATTGTTTGCTTTAACGCAAGATTTTGGTTCGCTTATTATTAACGCGACCAATTTTTTGTACAGAGAATATACATATATATATATATATATACATATAAACACATATATACATATATACATATAAAAGCAGACATGTGCGCGTGACTACTACTACTATTATTATTATTATTATTATTATTATTATTATTATTATTATTAATTACTATTATATTAGTATTAATATTAAACGTATTATGAATATTTTTCTTTATCACTGACAATGATTGTAGTTTTAAAATTTGAACGGCGTGCTGTTTGATTGTCATCGTAAATATTATTAACACGTTATTTCATATTATATTATATATATTATGTTATTTTTTTTTTTTATTATAATTAGTAATATTATTATTATTATTATTTTGTCATTGTCATCCTCATATTTCATAATTATCATTATCGTCCCTGTTACGATTCATCATCACTTATTCATGAAGTACCATAGCAATAACAATTAAAATCAATATAGATTATCGAAATCATATATTTTATTATGAGATTTCAATATTTTCCTTTCAAATATACATTGAATGAAATTGTAGAAAAATAAAATTTACATTTAAAATTATAATCTTCCTAGTTTTTTTATTTCGATCGATTTAATCCAAATTTGACATATGAAATGTGTATTGCGTACAATTGAAAAAATAGTTTTATGATATATCCTATTTTTCATACAATAATTTAAAATTTATTTCCTTTAAATGCAATAATAAAATTAACGTTGAATTTTCTTAATATAGTTTTGACGAATTTAAAAGAGATGAAAAAGCAATAAAAATCTTTCTCTGTTTGAAAAAAAAATTGGAAAAAGAATTTTGTGCGAATCCGATGATAATTCCGTTACAAATGCAATAATTTTTTTTTTTTTTTTTTTAATTAATAACAATGATTGTAAATAAAATTTAATTCGTAGTTAAAATAATAATGATTTTTGTAAATGTATTAACATAAAGAATGGCGTATTAAGCTATATTAACAATAAGTATAATACTGCTCTAGTATCTAAAATATTCTTTAGCAAACCATAAGACGAATATTGTAATTAACCCTATAACTGCACTATTTATCTATAATTTTTAAACGCTGGACACGTTATGTCTTTTGTAGAGAAACATAATCTAAATCTAATTATTTATTCTCTCTCTCTCTCTTTCTCTCTCTCTCATTCTCTCTTACTAAATATTATTCATATAAAGAGACTATAAAAAATATATTTATCATGCATCGAACAAATAATATATTTTCAACCTCTTGCACTATAACAACGTGTGAGGAGTTAATATAATATAAATTTATATACATATATATAATACAATATAAAATAATATATATATATTAATACCATATAATATATATATTATATATTATATTATATTATTATATATATAATTATTTTCATATTAGTTATATATATATATATATATATATATAGTTATTATATACATTATATATTATATTATTATTATATATATAATTATTTTCATATTAGTTATATATATATATATATATATAGTTATTATATATATTGTATATGTATATATAACTAATATGAAAAAAAAAAAGACGTGGAACGCACTAATTTGGAATGAGCCTCATTTTTTTAGCACTAATACAATAACGCATTTATATTTTGATGCTACTTATATGCATTATATACATAAATATAGTAAATCATACTCTCTAAATGGAAACTACAAAGAAAAATGAATATAAATGCATCATGTTCTTAAAAGCCTTATAAATTTTTATGTAACGAAAGACTCTCCATTCAAAAATAGTATATCATATTCTAATAAATATTTACATTATGAATGAGAGTACTTTCAAGAGATAATACAAAAGCCAGATAACACGCATCACTTTTGTTATCACTAACTATAAGTTATTTATACAGGGTGTCCTATATAAAAATTACAGGACACCTATTATACCACAGATATAAGGTTTTTACACTAAATTCGATTAATACTACCTCATTATTTAAAGTTGAAAAAAACTTGGTCAAATTCTAACTACTCTTAGATGCATACACAATATTCTATCCAACTATATGTATATATATATATGTATATTTTGATTGTTTTTTTATAAGTCTCGTTGATGTAATTCTCAACTAGCATTCGATATATCAATATCAATAGTTTCCTCTTTGAGTAACGCTCTTTTATCTTCCTTCGTATTTCCTTGCTTTTTACCACCACCTTTACGTTTACCTCTATTCAATACACCATTTTCATCGTCCATCATACGAAGAATTTGCGTTTGATCAGAACTTTCGATCGGTGCTATGGAAATGTCCCGTACCGCACGAAATTTACCGCAATTGTTTAAGTGTTCGTTCTCCAATCGAAAGAAATTCCAAATAAAACGCCTACAAAGTTATACACATACATTGATGGATTATTAATATATTAAAATATACAAATAATATAAAATCATACCTAAATACTTCAAGAGGTGCAACAATAGATGTTATCATGTCGTTGGAAATATATTTGCACTGTACTAAAATGAAACTTGCAACCCATATGAATCTTAATATAAAATCTTCTATTATCGCAAAATAATAAAATCCCTGAAATGGATTTTTACAATTTATTATGACAACAGTAATTAACAATATTAATAAATTATATTATTGCAATGCTTACCGCTGCAGAATAGACAACTTCTTCTCTTAAAAATTTATTTTCACCGGCGTTACTATCCAAAAGTCCCCAATCCATTTTTAAATCCCAAGTGTAAGAATATACTGAATTAACTATGCAACTTGTTACCCACGACCATAACCATGGATTTTCCCATTGATTAAAATATTCATCTAATATAAACACAATCAATTTATTTATTTGATATTATTATATTTGATTAATTTCATATAAATAAATGTTTATACAAATCAACCATTTTAACTCACCTCGATGATAATTATACAAAGTATTAGTTATAACAACTAGAAAGGTAGTAGAATATTTTCCAGCATTTGCTAAATGTGGAAATGCTTCTTTAGAATCACGATATCTTCGTAAACATTGAGCAAAACGAAACCAAGCTGGTAAACAATTAACAATAGGTCTGATGATCAAAGATCCTGATGTACATTGTTTTGTGTTTCCTACATCGAACCAATTACCATTCGTAATGTAAAAACATGTTAAAAATTGAAAATCCAATAAAGCAGTAGTTAAACTATTTAATTGATCGGCCAACCAGAAATCTGCGAAATTAACATACGCGAATGGAGACACCAAAACACGACCCTACAATAAAATAAATCGATTAGAATTATCTGTTGTAGAATAATCTAATATTTCATTGAGATTATTTGTAACAATCACTTACAATGATTTTCAGTAACCAAAAGCGTGCTTCGTGATGGAAGATTCTTAATGGATTGAGAAAAAATATCAACATAAGACAAACAAGAGCTAAGGGATTTACGTAAGGTGGAATACTGAGACTAGCACTATAAAGGAAACTTAATAGACTTAATGCCCATACTACTCCGAGGACTGCCGACAATTCCATAAGATGTTGTTCGGATAGATGATTTCGTGGATCTAATTCAAATATTAATACATGATTTACTCCAGAAGATCTCCAACCATAAACGTTAACGCCAATTAGAAATAAAAATTCAATGATAAGCATTGGTCCTCTGTACAAACGAAAGGCTATTTTTAAATTTTCTCCACTTTCATGAAATACTCCTGTAAAGAGTAAAAAAAAATAATGTATCCTAATTATGGTTCACATTATTAGAATAAATAGAGAATTTAAATGTATATATATGATACCTGAGAGAATAACAGTAATAAACAAAATTATAAAACTTCCAGAAAATAATCCCACTTTGAAAGTAGTCCATGGGCTCTGATGTTCTCCAAGAGGTGGTACACGAAGTCTTTTCATAGCACGTTGTCTATCTCCACCTTCAAGATCATTCGTTACAGTTGCCTCTGTTTCTTGTATAAGCTTGTCTATATCTTTCGAAGTATAGAAATGAGCTATTTCTACGCATTCTACTCTCCATTTTGATCCACTCTCCACAGACAATAACTGCAAACAACAATAATATTATAAAGCATATTAATATTTTTTTTAATTGATACAAATAGTATTTGGATTATTACTTGGATGTATAGTTGGAAACGTGAAGGAACATAAGGTGATGGTTGTTTCTTGACTTTTTCTTATCTTAATAAATATTTTTGATATGTTTAGGAAGCTTTTATAGCGAATATTAGAAATCTATTACTATATTACTCCATTAAATACCTTGTCGTGTTTTTTAAGAATTTTACGAAAGCCAGTATAATTAAGATTTTGATAGTTTTGCAAAAGTATGAGAGAAAGATAAAACTCTGAAAATGCAAGTTTCAATTCTCGTAATTTTCTCGTCGGTAGATGCAATCTGGAATTAGATTTTCCTTTATTTTTTCCAGTGCCCTGCTGTAATTCTAAGGCTGTTTTTAATTCGTTTAGTAATGCAGCGTATTTACGTGTAGCTTCCGCTAACTTTTCTATAAAAAATAATCATTTACATCAATAAAGAAATTGTTATTATTGCTTATACATTTTTTTCTTACAAAATATCTACTTACCAGAATAGAAAGTATTGATCTTTTTTAATTCACGATCACAAAATGTGAAAAATACTTCATCAAAGGAAGCAAAGTGCCTTTGTATCACTTCTGGTTCTACACTTTCTGAAGAAGGTGCTTCCTCCACTGCTGTATAAAGCATCGCTTTCATTTCCTATAATAATAAAATTTATTTAACATTCATCATAAACTATAAATAACAAATAAAATAATTTAACAAGTAAATTATTTACCTCATAACTTATGTACTGTTTACGCCACTCAGGAGTAATATGAGCGGATAGATGTTCAGCGAACTTCATTTTTGTTTTTGTGGTTATATATTATAATATGAATATCTGAAATTAAATAAATTTTTGGTATATAATTTAAATAACAACCATAATAAGATAAAGAAACATTTTATTACAATTTTCTTATAATCTTGCACTTTTCAAAAAATAACACTTTTATAAATAAACTACTTTAACATTACTTTAAACCATTAATTTTGAAAATCCACAAATAAAAATAAAGAAATAGTTTAAAACGCTAAAAACAATTAAATTTTAAACAAATAATAATTAATGTAAAAATTTACTAAATCTTTCACTGATAATTTAAATTTTAATAATACAGTAATATTAGCGCGTTTATACATAAACATGAAAATACTAAATATTGATATATACTTTAACGAAGTTCTACTGTATGACTCTGCTCGTGTTCGCCTAACTGCAGATTAAACTGAAAGCAAGGTTATAAATGATATTTATAACGATCCAATTGGCTTTGTCGGCAACACTGATTAAACATTTTATCTTTTCTGTTCATTCTGTTACAATATTTGTCATTCTTAAGATAAAGTGATATTAGATTGGACATTGGAATAAAAACCGAATTAATGAAGATTTAAAGAAAGAAATTAACTAAGAAAATTTGTAATACACTATTTAAAAATTAAGATTTGTAATAATTCTTTTCTTAAATTTTCAATTATTATTAAAAATGTGAGTAAAACATGAAAATAATTTGATGCGTTGTTTACTCTATATATTTTGTTATAAAATAATCAAAAGTTGATCATAGTTGTAACTAAAAAGTAATTTTAAACAATGATAAGAAGATATAAAAAAAATAATATATAAATTTTGACTATTACATTCACTTTTTAAATTATAAATCGAATTGTCAGTAGGTATTTAAATACTTACGATTAGTAGATTTAATTTTTCGCGGTTCTACTATTCTCGCAGTTGATTGGCTTATTACTTTTGACTTTATTAATAATATAAAGTATTAATTTTTTTTCGTTTCACGTGTTACATCTGTATTTATTATAGATAACGTACACTTGTTTGCATTGCTTTAACGTCTAATATTATTATTAAAGTATGAAAAGCATATTTTGAAATAATGTATTTTTCCTTTATTTTAAAATAGATCAATAATATTGTTACCAACAATATTATAAAATATCTCCCAATGAAGATTTGACATGAACCAATGATGAGTTATAGGAACTATTAAACTATGAAGTTAAAGTTTTAAATGATAATGATTCAAGATCAGAAACTTATATATTATTTCTATTGCAGTTAAATTAGGTCCAATTAAAATGATGTTAATATCACAAAGTTATCTTAAGTTATGTTTACCAAATTTATTGATCATATTTCATTCATCATTACTATAATAAAAAGATTTTTATAGAATACTATCTAAGAGTTCTGTTACTCATTACATATGTAAATTGTATTTACTATTACTACTTTAGCTAAACAATGAAATTATAATGACTGGTCTTTATTTGTTAACTCAAACAATAAGTTCCTTGGAAAAACTTGTTTTTACAGATCAAAATTTATTTTTTGTTTTCTGAAACTTTTTCAAATATATTCTACCTTTAATCTTAGACCCTGAGTAACGAGTATCTTCTCTGTCCGTTTTTTATCATGTGTATTAAATATCTTCTTTTGAAATTTGTACGCTGTATTTTGCTCTAATTGTCCTAAACTGTTGGAATTGTCGTCACCACTTAATATGCTATCTATTGTTCACGAATGAAATTACATTATTATTTCTGTGACGGATCGGTAATCTCTGTTTTACCGACGGAGTAAAGAAGAGGGCGCGCGACTATAGTTGTGTGGCGTCTCGCACCAGCGCAGTGCTGACATCTCTCGGCCAACAGCGCGCAGCTATAGCAGCGCGCGCAGGAAAAGTGCTGACACCTCTCGGCCGCCAGCACTAACATACGCAAGCACCTCATGACGCGGTTCCGCAGGGGCATCTGATTGGCCTGACCACGCCTTTGGTTGGTCAGAGCAGAAGAGTGACCACTGCGACTGTTGCNTCACTTCTGCTTCATCAGTCGAACCGTCCGGTCGCACTTCTCTCATCGCGCTCACTGTGTAAAAAGTATCTCCTGTGTGCAAACATTATCTTCTGTACGTGACCACGTGGCACACCACGCCGACAAATAAATATCGTCCCACGGGATCAAAAATATAATCGGGAATTTCTTTCCTCCACACGGAGTCTCCTAGGCCCATTCCTTTCTCCGCGGCCGTTCCTCGCGTCGGTGTGAACGCGCCTTAACGCGCCTAGTAACCTAGGGAAAGAATATCCCAAAGTTGAATGTCTAGTTGAATGGAAAAGAAACCACAAAATTTCTGGAGTGACAGTTAAAAAGTAATTGTTAAAAGTCTCGCTATTAAGTTAATACATTTGTTAGTAAAATTAAATATATGTCGCTTGTATAAACGAAATTAAATTAAATAGGTGAATATTCTTACTTAATTATCGAACGTGGTGGAAATAATTCTTATCATTCTTACGATATCGTTGTATTCTTTTTCATATTTTAATTGAAAACATTTAATAAATAACACTATATAATTCATATATCTATGTAACATATTGGTTATCACGTACAAACAATAAGATATAAATAGAAAGTTTCTATTGTTAGTGATATATGTAAATATTTGTGTATTTTATTTTTGTACACTCGTATCACTGTCTTATCTATTGTTCCTAACATTAGACTTTGAAATATTTGTTCTCTTTTTTTTTTTTTTTGAAAACCACTTACAATTAGTACAAACCTAATTTAAAAATAAAAGTAAAATTATATGTTATTTTATTATATATTTGAAAATATTGTTCAATGTGAAAAAATTATATTTTTCTTTTTATTATATTTCCAATCGTTTTCTTTTTTATAAAGTAATATTTTACATTTATGATTATTATCATTAAACAAATAATTGTTACAGTTGTATATGCATACATGTTATTGTATTTTCGTATTTGTTTTTCTATAATAATTATTTTCTTTGTGTTTTCTAGAAAAATGCGATTATTATCATCATTGCTGTTAATAGCAGTTTTTTTAAATATTACTGAAGCACTGCGGAATTTTATAAGAGGCAGAAGTAAAGATGGAAATTTAGGTACACTGCTATTAAGCAAAGAATATGAAAAACTTCCTAACGAACAATGGTTTACCCAAATGCTTGATCACTTTAATCCAACCGATGCACGTATTTGGGAGCAGGTATAAATATAGATTTTAAATAATTCTAAAGGCTATGGGGTGTTACTTTTTTAACAATATATTTTTTTAATAAGCTATTGAACTCAAACGGTTATTTCATCATTCCTTTTCTAGAGATATTTTCAAAATTCCGAATATTATAAGCCTGGTGGTCCTATGTTCCTTTTAATTGGTGGCGAAGGAACAGCAACTGCAAAGTGGATGGTGGAAGGACAATGGATCGAATATGCTAAACAATTTGGAGCTATGTGCTTTCAACTTGAACATCGCTTTTATGGAAAAAGTCATCCTACTGCGTTAGTTAACATTCTATAATCTGTAATCTTAATATCATAGAATTTAATATATATCATTTTATTATTAATAATTTTCAGAGATATGAGCGTGAAGAACTTGGTTTATTTAAGTTCAGAACAAGCGCTTGCAGATATAGCATACTTTATAGAAAGTATGAATGATATTTATAATGTAACTAAGAATACAAAATGGATTGTTTTTGGAGGTTCTTATCCTGGATCATTAGCTGCATGGATGCGAGTTAAATATCCTCATCTTGTACATGCAGCTGTTTCAAGCAGCGGTCCTCTTCTTGCAAAAATTGATTTTCAACGTTAGTATGATATCAATTATCCAATAGATATAACGTTGACTTATGTATATAATTTTCTAGATTGTTTAGTATTTTATATATTTTACATATTGGGTTGGTCAATAAAGTATATGCACATATAATATTAAAATATTTAGTAAAAAATATTAAATATAAAATGTTAAAACTATTTATTGACCAACTAAATTTTGATAGATCCATTAGTATTTATATTACAAATATTACAATCATTATTATATTTAGATTATGAAAATATATTTTACAGAGTACTACGTTATCGTCGAAAATGCTCTTAAAGAATATTCTCAATCATGCGTGGATGTGATTGCAGCTGCTAACAAACAATTTCATATAATGTTACGTCATCCGATAGGTCAACAAGGTCTTGTTAAAAAATTCAAGTGAGTATGAATTTATTAATTGCAAATAGTATTTCAAGATATTTATTTTTAACTTGTTTCTTTTTTTTTTTGCAGCCTGTGTGATCCGATAGATCCTGGATATACAAAACGCGTAGATATTTCAAATTTATACGAAACTATAGCAAGTAATTTTGCGGGTATTGTTCAATACAATAAAGATAATCGTAATAATTCAAGAATGGCTAATTTGACCGTTGACGATACATGTAAAATTCTTATGAACCAAACGATAGGTGCACCCATCGATAGACTAGCACTTATAAATAATTTGATATTAAATGCTAGCAAAGAAAAATGTTTGGATTTTAGATACGAAAATATGCTTCACGAGTTAAAGAATGTAACGTGGAATTCTGAAGCAGGGGAAGGAGGTAATTTAACAAAAATTATTCTCTTTACTATCGTGTAAAACTATAATTCAATATTTTTAGGTCGGCAATGGGTTTATCAAACGTGTACGGAATTTGGATTTTTCCAAACATCTACCGCACGTCCAAATTTATTTAGCGACACGTTTCCGGTCGAATTTTTCATCCAACAGTGCATCGATATTTTTGGCCCCAGGTTTTTATATTAAAATAATCCGTTAAAATATATAATATAATAATTATTATTATTATTATTTATTACATTCTTGTCATATTCTTTTTCAGATATAATTTAAATTTACTTAATAATGCAGTAAAACGAACCAATACTCTGTATGGAGCATTACAGTTAAAAGTAAACAATGTAGTATTCGTACATGGATCTGTTGATCCGTGGCATGCGCTAGGTATTACAACATCATTAGGTCCTGAGGCTACTGCTATCTTTATCAATGGTATGTATACACTTACTCGATTTTATATCAAATATTTTCGCAAATATTTTAAATGACATTAATTGAAGGTACCGCGCATTGCGCCAACATGTATCCACCCTCGGAACATGATACGGCTGAGTTAAAAGCAACCAGAGCACGAGTCGGAGAATTAATTAATAAATGGTTACAAAGCTAAGTGTACTTTAATTGTAATTTTTTTAAATGAAATTATAGGGAGTAAGTCTGAACAATATATTTTCAAATAAAATCATGCAATCTTTCATTTTTGTATCCGTTTGTTACGAAATACAATATTGTATTTTGTTGTTGTTGAAATATTATTTACTAGAAATATCTTTTTTTTTTTTATGATTTACATATGTCATTGATTAATAAAATGTTGATGGAATAGAATCTCAAAGATGATGCATAAATATATATGTGTTTATTTAATGTAATCGATACAATACAGTAACTAACAACTAATGGTATAAGATTATTTTCACGAAATATATATCATATTTAGGTAAATTAAAAGTAATTTGCCCAAAATGGCACTATAATAATTTACTCGTCATTACTTGGCAAAATAAATACATATGTATACAAAATAATTATATGAATATATCTTATCTCAGTCAACATTAGTTATAACGATAGTTACCGTTTATATTAAATTAACGCGAAGATAAATTTGTTATCTATTATGTATTCTGAAACGTATCGTCATTAAAAAAGTCACTTTGTGAGGTGTTTGTGTTCTGTACAAACTGTATTCTATCTACCCAATTTACATATCAAAGTAGCTTCCGTCACTAAACGAACGTATTATTCCGAAATGGATAACATCGGCCTTCCCTTATTTATTTTTGTCCTTTTTGTAAGTAATTAGTAATTTCAAGGCGAGGCCAAGGTACCCATGACAGATTTCAATTCTTATCGGAAAAACTCGACAAAACCTATTCGAGATAATATTATTATACGAAGATGTATAATAAAAAAAAAGAAAGAGAGAGAGAGAGAGAGAAAGTCTAGAAGAAAGTTTAAAAGAAAGTTAAAGGTACACTTTGCTATAGATAAATATATATATGCCAAGATTTGATCGTAATAAATATATATATATATATGTATATATTACTTTCTTTTCTTTCTTTTTTGGCATTCTGCTACAAAAAATCTTCTGATCTTCCACGAAGATCAAGATGAACATAATTCTTATTTTTTTTTTTTATAGTAATCGCATATTAAAATACTTCTACATATATGTATGTACAGTATGACGTATAACAAATCGATTAACTATAAATTATTCATAAGATAACAGAGCGATAATATCAAATCCTTCATAGCAAAGGTCTCACGTATATCTATCAAAATAATAAACAATTCTATATGCGTACGCACGTTTTTCTTGTTAAGAGCGAATGTGCCAATGAATTTCTTTGATTGAAATTAAAATTGGAAATATATAATCACCCGTGAAATGTTCAATATCTATGATGAGATTGTGACTGTCTCCATTCGGGTGTTGAATTATTGTGATGATGATGGTGGTGGTGGTGATGACGTTTCTTATCGGAAACACTAGCATGCTTGCTGGATGGATAAGCTGCGACATCGCTGACAACTAATTCCGAACCATCACGTTCGGTATTGTTGCCGCGAAAATTTTCCCGATAACCTGGTTCATCCAGGGTCTCCTTGCGCTGTAACGCAGGATGGTTCATCTTGTGTCCAGTGGTTTCGTGTAGATTCTCCCATGCTTGCCTGTAATACCGATTTAATCCACCTCGACTTTCGGATGAACTGCTATCAAAACTAGCAACGGTATTACAATCTGGTGATGCTCGGTGGCGATAATGTTTACTGCTTCTACCACGGTTCCTGTATAAACAGGGATAAGACGATTGTAAAATAAAGATATTGTTCCTAACAATCATAATGTTATCAAAATTATTCTATAAAGCGTTTAGTTAGAGGATTATTATTTTTCAAGTGATTCAATAAACAACCAACGAAATGTAAACGATGCAATGAACAGAAGAATAAGAATAATGTTATGATGAAAGATAGTTAGGCCGACTTTGCCATAAAATATAATCAACGAATAATTATATGTATATTTCCATAAGGAAACAATTATTATCAACAATCATTGGCAATTAATCAACCTCAAGCGAAAAGTAAAATTTAGGATTAATTTTTGTTCAATCGTGCATGAAGAAGATCAAAGCAAACATTTTATTTTATTCACATGCATCGATGTGAAGCATTGCACAGTGATTATTATTATTAATCTTGGAAAAAAATAAAGGAAAAGTTAATATATAATCAGGATAAGGGTGCATAAATGGTCACTCGCGGAGGAGGAACGCGTGCAAAAAAAAAATCGCGTGTAATAATACGAAGCTTCCTTTCTTGTAAAAAACAAAAAGAAGAAAAAAGGACACCGCTAGGCTGCCGGTGAAACGAGCTACCACTATACGTAGTGCGCAGTAGAAACTTTGCTCGTTTACCTTGACTATCACTTGCGAGATTGACGTACAGTGGTGTTGTGATGGTGGTACGTGTTGATGGTTGATGTGGTGGGGCGGTGGTTGCGGTTGGAGGGGTGGGGAAGAAGTAAACTTTATCCTGCTGCTTTATTTTTATTCGTATAAGTTTCTCTTTCCTTTTTCCTGTTTTTTTTTTTTTTTATTTTATTTTTCTCTCTTTTTCTTAGTCGTAATTGTTGTTGCTGTTGTCTTTGATTTTTTGTTTTTTCCTTTTTTTTCGTTTTTTTTTTTATTGTTTGTTGGATATTGCTTTTTCGTGGTTGTACTCATTTAGAATTCAAATAGAGGGGTTTGAGAAGTAACCGGCACGGTGTGCTGCCGAGATGGTGAAGGAGTAAGGATGATCGCTACCACGGCGTGCCATGAGGTCGCGGCGCCCCAGGTGCTGGTCGGGGAAGGGCAGCGCCAGTAGCGTATACCAACGCGAGGGCATTCCTGCCTCGCCCCTTCCAAGGCCACTGCTACCGCCACCCCTTAACGCTCCAACCCCACCGAGCCCCCTGCGGCGCCTTCCTCTTACGCTTCCACTGCCGCTAATTACCGCCAAACCACGCAAACATTTCAACTCTTGAATGAATCTCAACTGTTTCTATCTACCTAAGCGCGCTTCATTTTTATTTTTTTCAATTCTACTCTTTTTATTCGAACTTACTCACGTCCAAGTTACAAGTAAAAGCCTCTTTCTAATCTCACAATCAAAGGCGAGTTAACTATGACAATTTACTAATAATGGGGAAAACCAAGTTGACAAGATACCAATTTTTTTTTAATTCTACACAATTGTAGGAGTCCATCAAGACCCATACACTCTGTGCAAGTAGTAAAATGTGAAACTTCTTCTTTCGTTTTCTTGGAAACGGTTGAATATTGGATCCTACCACTTGCACAGTGTACAATAGAGACAGTATACAATTAAAAACAATCGGTATCCTGTTAACTTTATTCTTGTAAGTTCGAAAATGGAAAATTGTAAATGACTTAAATTATGTGATTTTATTTGGAGATTATTTTCTTAACTCTTTTAACATCAAATTATTGATGAAAGATCAGATCAGAGATCAATTGTCTACCGCTAGTCACTTCTACTTTTCGTAGAAATAATTTACGATTTTTACTATCATTGTGTGATTTTTAGGAAAAGGAACCAGCGTCGGAAAGGAATTCGTTAATAGATGAAACAAGAAGAGTACGCGACATTTCTACGCGAAATCGCGATTCTTTGTCAAAAAGATTTAATTCGATGGTAATGGTTAATGAATTGGTTTTTAAAGGAATAACGTTTTCGCGTTTAATTTAAGATTAAAAAGAGGAGAAATAGATAGAAAAGTAAAGAAATCGAAATACAGGGTGTAACAAAAATACGTGATCATTTTAAAATGAGATCCTTATTTGTAGATTAGTTACGTCAACGTGGAAATATATTTAATTTCTAATTTACTTAGTGTATTCTAAAATTATATTTGCATACTCTGCATACAAAATGTTCATCTTATTATCTGAATACTAAATATATTGGAATAATAAGTAGACCATACTAAAAATAACATCACACTCGAATGTTTTATAATTCATAAATAAAGAATTGTTCTTTTATAAATATGAGATATGCATTCCAGTAACTTTGTTACACCTTGTATATTGTACAGGCGATACAGTAGGCAGAAGTAGGTAAAGAGCGGATATTTTATGTATAAAAGAGTGTTAATCATGTAATCGTAGCAGAATAAGACATAGACTGCTTGTTTGTGATATTTGTATGTTCGTCTAGTTAGATATTACAATAACTTATCCTTACCTGCGTATCAATATGACTACTGTTGTGATGACTGCAGCAAGAAAGACGAAACCGCCGAAGACTCCGAGTGCAATGACTGCACCAAGATTTAATTTTGCTTGATGAGCACTAGCCGGTTGATTAGATGTGTCCACTTGTAAAGGTCCCGAAGGTTCGGGTACACCTGTGCCAATACCGGCTTGCACATGATCAGCACCACTACCAGCAATCTCGTTGTCTTGTGGATGATCCTTGCTATGATCATTTAGAATCGATGATGGAGAAGAAACAGCACTTTGTATGTTAACGTTTGACTTTTTCGGTTCGGTTTCTTTAACAGTCGCCATGTGTTCACCAGTAATCGGTGATTTTGGTGGAACTATTGTTGATTTTATCGTTGATTTCATCGTAGTAGTCGTAGTTGCTTTCGTTGGTACATTTGTTACTGATGTAGTCGTTCTAATCCTCGTTGTAACGAATGGTCGTGGTCTGCTACTCGTTGCTGGTCGTGAAGTCACTCGAGGAGGCAACGTTACTGTAGTCGAATGAGGTTCTTCTATACAAACATAAATGGACAATACGAATAGTTAAAATGTGTTATAAGATATTCAATGAATAAAACACTAAAATAATTATAAATAATTGAAATTACCTATGCAAGATGGTGCAGCGTGATCATAAAGTCCGGTTTGTAAGCAGAGAATCTGCCGTGAACCGATCAATCTATAACCTTTTTCGCATGTATAAGTGACAATACTACCAACGAGAAGACTCCTGTTAACGTTCGTTTTGCCTGCTATTTCAGTTTCGTCGATTTCATCGATTTTAACGAAACTGTGAGAAATCATTGTGGGTGGATCGCAATGTATGGGCTCGCAACGCGGTGGTGGTCCGTTCCATCTTTCATCAATGTCGCACGTTAACCTTGCACGACCTATAAAATGAAAAAAAAATAATAGATTAATTTTACGTGAGATCGTATAATCATAATAATTACTGTCATCATCGATTACCTGTCATTTCGTATCCCTCGTCACAAGAATAGAGTACTTGGCTCAGATAAGTTACAGTGTTGTTAATCAACGTGTAACCACCGTGCTTTATATTCGCGGGATAACCGCACTCGATATCTAAAAAAAACGACAGCGAAGTTAGTTTATAACTCATTAAAATCAGCGAGGAGATAAACAGCAACTTTTGAATCCTTACTTTTACAAACCGGTGGAAATTCGTTATAGAAGCCCGTATCAAGACAGGTACGAGTCGAAGGTCCAATTAGTAGACTTCCAGAGTTGCAAGTATATTCTACAGAAGCACCAACTTCGTATTGAGTAGCAGCATTTCTACTTACTACAGCTGCCACGGTCATGGTTGAGTTTGGTGGTTGTTCGGGTCTACCGCAAGATCGTGGTTCTACGAATTGAGCATATTTTTATTAGAAATGTATCATTAAAATGGTAAAAAAATATGAAATATGAAAGATAACGCTTACGGTGTTGACAGATAAAATTGAGTCGAGCATTGCAAGGTGTATCGGACCAGAGCCAACCCCTGCTACCGTCGTATCGAGCACAATCTTCTTCTGTACCTTGTGGAAGACTCCAGAAAGATACGGAAACTTCTTCTCCGCTACCTGTCCATCTCCAAACGGTCCGATCATGTTCATCCCTCACCGCACCCATCCAGTATTGACTGGTAGTGTCACTCCTTCTTAAAAAATAAATAATATCAATATAGTTGATTAGATAACAAAGAATTGACTATTAAATGTTTAGATGGATATACAGTACCTGTGTCGTCTCCACAATTCCCAGGAAATGAATCCTTGAAGTGCAGGATTACTTTCATCGACTAAAGTGCCACCCCGGTTACGACAGAAGGTTAAAGCATCTGCGAAGATCATCGGTTGCCGATTATAAAATATGTAACATTTTCCATTATAAGTGGCTGTTGATCCTGGTGGTTGGTCTCTGAATTGTGGACACCTTTCGATAGGCAATGCCTGTGCATAGGAATATCAAAACACAAGATAACAAATTTAATTAATTTTAAGGATAAGTAATATGAGTGATGCGTTGATCGCAACTACACACCTGATCCGTATAAACGAAAGCTTCGCACAAGGATAGCTGCACCGGAATTGGCGCTTGGGTGGAAGCCTCTAAATGCACCGAAACAAATGCACCAGGCATTGGTGGATTGCAAGGAAGGAAAAGAGGTTGACCCTCTTCCAGTGGGCCAGTGAAACGGTTGCAAATTGGATTAGTTCCTAAATCCGGCCGATTGTTACCGACGCGAACGACGATCGTACCAGGAATACCAGTTCCTATTAATTTAAAGAAAAAAAAACGAATTTCTTCATTTTCTTTTCGCTCCGTTAAAATTCCTCTTTTGTTTTTGTTTAAATATACTAAACGTAATTAACTGAAAAGCGAATTGATGAAGAAATGAAAAAAAAAAAGGCAACATCATTTCAACCTAAATAACGTCTCAGCCGCAACAATGAATTACAGCGTAGATTGTTATTACAATATTACATACTCTTCTCTCTGAGACATTTCGTTTCTCTTCGACAGAAGAAATAAAAAGGGGCAAAAGAAAATAAAAGAAACGATATACGCATCTAATACGTAGAACTTTCATAAATCGGTAAACTCGTTGAATTTCACTGTTTGAAAGTACGAAAAGGAAACGCGATATCAAAACGAAGCCGATGTCCGGCTTCTCGTCATTTTCTTCTTCCTTTTCTCTTAAACTTGAGAGAAACTCCTGTCGATTTGTCGTCACGGATCGTCTCGTCCTCTTCGCTAAATTATTACTTTATGGACAATAAAATGATCTTGTCCTGGTTTTCTCAATTGCGTTCACTTTTCTTTTCCTTTTTCGGCGATCATGCGTATTCAATCGTGTTTGCATAAATTTCAATTAGTATTTGATATACGTTATCGATAATATATGTTTCGTTCCGCTTGTAATCGTTTCCTCTTTTTTTTTTTTATAAATAAAATTAAAAATAGAACAAACTTTATAAACTATTTTATTTAATTATCTATCTGAATAAATTCAACAAACGAAACACATAAACATTATAGTTGCACACATCACATATATTATCTGCATTGTATAGGATCGTTAAGACCTATGATCGTCACGGCTGTTGCTCAATGTGAAAGTTCTCATCTTTTCTTTCCGCGAAGAACAATTATAAGGTAGGTTATTGTGAAGTGCGATTGATTTAATTGCAAATAAGTACGGCATGTAGACGACTCGGAAGGCATAACGTGGAAATCATCCTAGGATACCTATCTCAACGAAGTTCCCTGGGCCGTGTCCAAGAGGTTGCTAGAAGGCTGCATACATCATGGATTTTGCCACACATGGCCAACTTTTCCTTAGAGATCATTTCATCCGATATTTATCCAGGTGTATTCACGTCAAATCAATTTTACACATCAGAAACTGACGATTATTGTTCCCGTAATAATCCATCTCTAAACTAACTAACTGATTGAATAATTTTAACGAATTCTAGGAATAATGATCGATCAAACGTAAATATTAAATTGTTAGAAATAAAAAAAAAAGAAGAAGTGGGATTAATACAGCGTTAGTGAATTCATCGTACAATTTCACGGATGGTTCGAGACGATGCTTGAACGATAATTCTGCTCTCTTTCGGTTTACCTCGATTAGACGCTTTGATTATCTTTGGTCAGTGGAAAGAAAGCGCGTTCTCAAAGATTGACAGAAAATCAACATAGTGAAAGAATCGATTTGAGGTCGAGGAAACTCATGCATCGAAGCACCCAATCAAATATAGATATCTCAGTAAATGAATAAGACTCCTACTTGTGCTAGTTTACTGATAATTAGCTGATTAAAGAAAGTCATTTATTAACAACATCCGTCGAATTAATCGCAGATTTGATCAATGGAAATTAAAATGGAATACTTGACTTACCACAGCAAGGTTTTCCAAAATCCAATCGGACCAGTTGTACCATGTACGGTTCCAGAAGATTCACATACCACCATGGTTTGTGTTCGGGTCTTGTTAAGGTACAAGTTTGTGCTGTGTAAATTTGTGCGCTGCTTCCGTCAACAGCACGTTGCGGAATTCCGCCTTCCAAACTGCTGGATTGCATCGGTGCTTTTCCTCCGGCAACGTTCAATACTAAAAACGCAAAGAGAAAATAATCAAAACTTAATTAAGATTGAACGATAAGTCTATACCATATTTCTATATGAATAAAAAGGCAGAAATTAACATGAATTTATTGGCTAATCTAACATTATTTTAGACACATATTCATCTTCAATAGAAGAACTTGATCATTTCATTAATCCTTCCGTTAACTTCTTAATTAAAATTATTTTCAATCATTCGTTATAAGTTAAATGCAATTTGACGAGAGATTACGTGACATGGCATGATTGAAACTTTAATGTTAATCGTTCGATCGCGATCGTTGAATCGCAATGGATGAGAAAAAGGCCGCCAAGACTCATTGCCATACTCCTTGTATATACAAGTATGTAATAAGTACATGATGAAAGAAGGTCGCGAGTATGGCCGCGATTTATGTACATACGTGAATGGGCGAATAGGTACTTTGGTACTCAATGTATGTGTACAGTGTATGTGTTTTTATCAATACATATAAATCTAGTTGAAGTACGCAGATAGATGAACAGTCGCGGCCTCGAAAAAGAAAAGAAAAATTAATAAGGAGAAAAAGAAAAAAAGGGTAATAATAAGAAGAATAAGAATAAGAAGTTTTGTTCAGTAAGTGCTGGCAAGTGCATTCGCGAAGAAGTCGTTGGCCTTGCGGTAGTTTTACTGTACCGTAATGTGAGAATTTTACCGGCGCTAACTCGCAATGCTGACGCTACTTTTGCTTCTGCTGTTGAAATTGCTGCTGTTATCGTGTCGATATTGATTATATTAATGAGGCTAATTAATTTACTTTTATATATAGCAATAAAGGAAGAAATAAATTAGACACCTATATTTAAGATCCTATATTCTAAATTTATACGAGGATAAGAAAAATTGTTCTTTTTTTTTTTCTTTAATTTTATCATCTCGAAGATATATAATTCTGATATGTAATTTATATGATTAAATATTCTAAACTTGGATGGCGTGATCAGGAATAATTTTCCAATGAAATATGTATGATCTAAAATATCCTAAATTCGTATGAGGAATAAAAATAAAACTATTTTATTTTTTTAGCATCTGAATAATATTCAATTGTGGTGTCTAATTTAATAAATGGATTTATATTTCAATCCTTTCGATCAGATTATTCGAATAATCGATGTACGATACGATTAATCATTTTGCATCATTATAATATTATATTTCTCGGAAACAAGTTTAAACGACAACTTACCAACATTCCAATAGATGACTGTATTTACAACACTAATAAGTTAATAATTGATGCGTTCTCGACCTAAACCTACATATTGAATTACTCATCGACATTCAGCTGTACGGTTGTACACGTATGCAACTACATAGCACGTTCCCACAAACTCGATACATTCGCGTACCTCATAATTTACAGTTATTTCTCGCGAGTAAACGTGAGTAAGAAAAATTTTGCAGAGATTATATTGTCGGTTCCATAATAACTCTAATAACGGAAGTCTTCCGACATATTAGGTTTTAGGATTATCTGTATTCTATTATACGTAGAATTAATAAAACGGAATATTGTGTAGTCATAATAGAAAAAAAAAAAAATAAATCAATGAGAATATCAGAAACGTATAAATTATGTGCATCCTTTCGAAAGTAGTTTAATTTTCAAATACAAATACTAGCAAATGATGCGTAATCTCTTGTCACGTTACTTTCACAATTTTCCGTATATGGTTAAGCTCTATTACAGAAATTAAACGATAACAAGAAAGTAGTAGAAAGAATCTACGTGAAAGTGTTAAACTCGGGCATGAAATTTTCGAGCTTCGTCGAAGCGTAAATGAAAAAGAAATAAATTTTGTTTTATTTTCTAATGATTCTCGAGTCGAGAGTGTCTTTGATTTTTCCTGATCGGATAAAGTGTAAGTGTTATGTTGTAAAATCGATGAAAATAATAAGATAAGTGAAAGTATTCTTCCGTTTTCATGCCAAAACGTTATGTCAAAGATAGGAATCGTAGACGATCGTAAAGATGAATTCGAACGATCTAGGAAGTTGTGCCTTCGAGCGATGCGCTTAGAAAGAATAAAACCGTAGTAGACGTGTAAACGGAGGTCGAAAAGAAAGTTCCACGTTTCGCGATATTCTCACAAGAGCCGAGAGAAAAGGAGGAAGTAGTGCGTCGAGCTTTCTTGCCGAGGGAGTCGATTTCGAATACTCGACCATCTGGATTCTGATTTTTTTTTTATTGTTTTTTTGTTTTATATTTTTTTTTTGTTATCGATACAAAATAAAATTATATCTTAACACGTTGATAGAAATTGATTTTTTCAATTAGATCAAAACGGATTATGAGTGACTTAAATGCCTCAAATATCAACACCATAGAACAATATTGTATTTATTTAATTGGACTATACAATAAACTGAACAATTGCATTATTCATCAAAAACAATTTTAATTAAACATTATTTATCGTAATACCAAAATGATATATACCGTATTGTATTATTCTATTGTGAAATGATAATCAACGTGTTAAATACACCCTTTAATTATTTATACCAACAAGTATATATGCATTTAAGAAAAATAGAGCGAGAAAGGGGTAGGAAGAAAAAAATCAAGTCTGCCCAAGGACAACGGATAGCGGCTGCTTCACATTAGGAATGCGCACGAGGAAGGAAGGTTGGGAAGGCCGCGCACGAGCAACAGGTTCAGAGTTAACGGTGCAATGCCCCCACTGTCTTCGGTATTTCTTGGCTATCTATCGACGAGCGCCTCGGTCAAGGACATTCGGAATTGGGTCGATCAACTAACCGAAACTTCCTGTCTTCTGATAATTAGACAGGTATATATATGTTATATTCGCGTATGACACATTTTTCCTTTACGCACGATCGATAGAATTATATCTGATTGAATAGAAATGTGTATAAAAAAAAATATAAATTTGAAAAAAGACTTACCACAAAATGGAACACCTTCCGGTGTCCAAGTCCCGTCTGCTTGACATTGTCTTCTCGCTGGGCCAAGTAATTCAAAACCCCGTTCGCATGAATAAGTAGCTACAGTTCCTTCCGGGAATTCTGTTTCTTTGAGAAGAGCATCCTCTTCGTCTATAACATCGTCAATGCCGCTAAAAGTGAAACGTACACTGCTGTGAGCTGGTGCACCAGGATAACCGCATCCAGTGCTAATGCTACCTGCAATTCAATACGCATATCTAAGTATTAAGATACATTTATTACGTTTCAAACGCTTCATATTTACGATAAACTTTATATACACATACAGGAATCAGAATCAGAAATCGATAAGATACACTGGTAGTATCTCAAGTGTCGTAATATTTTCCCATCGGAAACTATAAACAATGTATTTAATGTTTCGACATGCAAACTTATTTTTAACGTTGTTGAATTCCAGTTGAAAAAATTAATCAATATGTAACTGAGAATAGCAGTAAAAATAATATTCAAGAAAATTAAACAATGTTTGGTACATTTTCAAAGTATACAATCACAAAAGAAAACTGTTTATATTAATCTGTCAATAAAAAAAAAAATAAAGACAGTATTCTGAACATCATACTCTACTACAAAAACTTTCTTGTCATAAAAATACTTGAAACAATTTCAAACAACGTGCTAAAATTTTTGAAGACATTTTTTACGAAACTAATTCCCTTAGAATCACGTGATTGCATTAAACAACGGTAATCGTTGTACCCATGAAATACATAGTTACGTAGACACGCTACATGTATGGATTTACAAAAGAGAATTGCTTGAAAGGCGTAAAATGTGTTTAAATGGCTATGCAATGTACGGGACGTTGCTTCATCAAGCATCGAAGTCTACGTTTTTAACTTGATGACTTCGATGCCCGGTGAGGCTCGTCACCGTGGCTTTAACGCAAACAACTTATTTATATGCTTACAAACTACTTAAATACTTATGTACGTGCATTATAAAGCATTTTGCTGTTGTGAAGATGCAACAAACATTTTAATGTTTTCTCTTTTCTTCCCCGGAGTTCTAGCTTCCATTATGTAATACGGTTTGAAATCGTCATTTACGTAGGAATCTTGTCCGCAATATCGTAGACTGTGTAATCTTATTTCATTCTTGTTCGTTAGACGAGTGATCATTCTTTCATGATTTGTTAACAAATTTATATATATATATATATATATATATATGTTATTTTTTCTTTTTAATAAAGGGTGTAACCAGAGGAAAGAAAAAAAAGATACGAAACTTCCGGTAATAGCTCAACCTACGCAACGATTCGCCGGGCTAACTCAAGGATTTCGTCGAAGATTCAAAACGAGCGGAAATCGCTTTGAGTTCTTGCAGCGGAAACGATAATGCAAGCGATTCGCATCCTGTGGAAAATCGCGCAATCGTCTTTAAATTTTAACTTTTGAAGAATTAATCACAGTGACGCGTTCTATTACCGCGTGCCAAACAAAATGTTAACATTGATTTAAACCTAAGCGATTTATTTGCGAAATTTAACTTTTATCTAAAAGCATACTTTATTCCAATGTTTATTTCCAAATTACGCGTATATATATTTAGTATAATAAATAGGGTTTTAATTTCTAATTGAATATTCAGGTAGAATGAAAATAACGCGTCAAATTTAGGTGAGATTGATCGTAAGCATGATATGTGAGGAAGGTGTAAAGGATCGATTGCTTGACAAGGTCATAGGATGAAACCGCGAACGAGATGAATGTCGAGATTACCACGACTCGTGTCGGGCGGACAGGTGACATTCCTGTGGTACGATACAATAAAACGGTTTCATCTTTAAATCATCGTAAACACTTATGATAAATAACTCAGCATTGATCTCACGTTGATTTGTGGTACTCAAAACATAACGGTTTAAATCTATACGATTAACATATTTATAATGAATATACTTTTTCTATCGACTATGTTGCTAAACTATACAACAAGAAGATATGAAAAGAATGTGGATTGTAATGTTTTGTCGAAGTAACAAACACATACAAACTTTTTTACATTTACGCCTACGTTTGTTGCCAAAATGGCAAGGCTGCATAAGCCACGGTCAGGTACTCGCAGTTACAACCAACATAAACGTGATCAGAGTAAATAAACTTATGTGGGCCAGTAGAGTGGACATAACGAGCTACGATCGCGTGGAAAGGGTAAAAGTTATTCTGGTGTAAATATCAGGTCACCGCTATTTTTTACCGTTACATTCAGCAAGGATTATCATACAATACGATATCTTAATATGTTATAGTTTTTGCGATTGCGCGACGATATGATCATCTTTACTTACTTAGTTCGCTAATGTTCTAAGAGAGAGTAACGTAACGAAACGAAACGAAACGATTGTAAGTATGAGAAAGAGAGCGTTTAACAAGCAGCTAAAACGTGTATTCAATTGTTTGGAATAATAATCGCGTTTAAGTAATTGTCAGAACTAATCATACACAATCATGAACGTAAGCATGTTGTATTGTTCGTTAAGTATTTGTCACACAATAAGTGCCACTTTATTTAAACGCAGTAAACTATTTCTGCGAGATCGAAATAATATTTAATATTATAATTTTATGTTCACGATAATTTATGTTACTGCGATTTAATAAAAAAAAAAATATATATATATATATAAAGAATATACTTGTAATAATACTATAAAAAAATTATGAACGCATTTGACTTCGTATTTTCTAGAAGATTCACTTCGTGCTCATGCGTTTACGGAGTTCTAGCAAGCATAATGCGCATCGGCTATTTTTATACGGATGACATCGTAATGCATATTTTGTAGTACTACTTTACTATCGTGATTTTTGATTAACGATTTTAAAATTCTACTTTTACGAATTAAATTTTGTGCCAGATGTTATCTTATTAATTGATATTAGAAACATTATTGTTTTTAGAATTAATAATCCTTTTTTTTTTTATTAAAATAATCATTATTATACGAAGTTAATAATTACAACAGTTTAGAAAATAAAAAGCAAATGTGAAATTTTATTATTGAACAGATTGTAAAAAAACAATTCCAATGTTCTATGTCTTTTTATATCTTATTTTTCTTGCGGAGAATTTTTATAGTCTTTCGTTAACATTTAATTATAATCAATAAGAGAAAAAAGTTGTACGACTTTCTTTCGAGGAAAGTGAGTAGATTAATTCGTAGATTTTTTTATATTTTTTTTTAGATTTTACATAATACATTTGTCAGCTAGTTGATTAGAGATAGAAATAAATTAGAAAACAATCTATGAAATAATCTTAAATAATCTCATTAACTGTAAGAAAATTTTTAGAAAGAATAAAGAAAGCAGTACGATCTTCTTTTATATATATATATAGATATATACCACGTGGCGTTTGACTGGAGATTTCAACGCAAGAAAAGAAAGACGTTAGAAGAGAAATGGTTTTCTCATCGTTGTGTATCTGTAGAATTCGAATAAAAGGAAATAGAACAAAGCTTAGAAATAAAATGATGCGAATGTTTGATAAATGAGACTCTAAGGAAATAAATAGAGAACAAGAAATACGAGTCAAGTGAAATAAAGTAAAATGAAGTAATCAAATTCATTTGAAATAAATATGATTAATCGTCCATACATTGGATATAAACGAAACATACTCTTGTAAATACATTAAGAAAAAGTGTTATTGATAGTAATATAATAAGAAGATATTAAAAAAAAAAGAAACTAAAATTAGAATCTTTTATGAAAATAAAAATATTTGCTTCTTTTAGAAAAAAAGTCTTTTTAGAAAAGAAGAAAAAACAGGTATAATAATAAAAGCCAACCTTTAACAATAGACCCTAGTACAAGGAGAAAACACGTAAATCCTTTCCCTTCCATTTCTTTTATTTCCAGCCTCCAAGCCCGAACACCCCGATGAATTCCAATGGTCGTTTCTCGAAATAAGAAAGTTCTTGAGAAGATGATGAAAATACACTATTTTCTTACAAGTGATATTTCACCGAATGCACCATCGATGAGCCATACTCGTCATCTCGCACGTTTATAGATATTTTCTTCAAGACCACTTCGTAAGAATAATATTTTTTTTTTCCAAATTGAAAACAAAAAATTATGAAATAAAAATCAAATCAAAAATATAATATAAACAGTCGAATTGTCAAAACGAGACAATAATATTTTCTCTGAAATAATTTAATATTTCATCGTTCTCTTTTCTTACAGTGAAACTTTCGTTTGTGTCTTCTACGAGACACAAAGTAGGTCTTCTACGAGCGACGGACTACGATCTCTTCCGAAGACTGAGCTGCTCGTTCAGTCTGCACTGTAGCAGGAAGTCGTCCAGGTGTTCTACTCCCTCCCCACCCCTCCAGCCACCACTACCACCTGCTATACATCTAGTGCTCTTTCTGCTTTTCTTTACCACTACCTCCAAGCAAATAACGAATAGTGTGCCAGTTGCCACCAAAAACGTGAGGTTGCCTTATACGATCAACTCACTCTCTGACTATTCCTTCTATCCTACTTGCTATCCAACTCACGGGCCAATCTTTAGGCTATTCTTTTAGGAAGACCATTATCAAGAAAATGGGCGGATATTTACAGACAATGATGTGTCATTAACTTTAGTTTTTGAAAGTCTTTTCAATTTCTTTCGCTTGACCTCCATTTTACTTAACAAACTGTGAACAACCAATCGTCAATATAAATATTTCAAATTATCTACAAGAAAGAAAAAGATACTAACAAATCGTTCAATTACAGAATGCAAATTACGCTTTATTACAATTGATCGTAAAATTATATTATTTGCATAGAGCGAACGGATTTACGTCAGTCACCTAATTACTTATTAATCTTTGATTATTTATCGATGATTTGTATTTCAATCGCGTACATTTCTCTAGTAGAACATTTTTATAACGGTCTTATGATATATAAATGCGAATGTATACATACATAAATATTTATATAGGTATACTTACCTACATAGATTTGACACTGTTAAAGGAATAATAAGACACTATCAATTGCTATATCTATGAAAGCGAAGGAAGGAAGAAAGAATAAGGGCCTCTGTATTCTCGATTTGGTAGAAGCGGAAATTTGTTGAGAGACGAAAGTTAACTGTGTGCGGTAACGTGTGTCTAAAGAGTTGGAAGTCGAGTCACTTGTTAGCAACGTCGACTTCCTGACCCACATACCAGGGGCGCCGTACAAACGTAACACACTTTAGACGTTATTCCAGCCGTAAGGCAACCACGAACCAACCGCAGCCCACCGGAATAGGAGGAATGCGCCGTGTTGTTCACGTTTACGTACTTCCGAATAATAATTTTCTTCAATCTCTTCGACTAAGACTATTCTATTAAGAAAGATAGGAGGATCAACTAAATTCATTTTTTGAGGTCATCGACCTATGCCCCCACGACGTTTTTAATCTAGTACTCTAGCCGCCGAATCGAGTTTCTCCGTTAGGCTTCAATATCCTCTTCGAACAGGCCATATCGGTGACAGTGTCGACATTCTTTCAGCGCATACCAATCGATACTTTTCGAGATATTACACCCACTCTTAATCAATATTCTGATGAAAGAAAAAAGTATTTTAAACAAAAAAAATGCTCGTTTATAAATGATACACAATAATATTTGCAAGTTATTACAATAGTTTGGATTAAGATTGAATTTATATAATTTATCTTTTATTGAAATTATTTATATTATTAAATAAATTATCAAATAAATTCTTAACATTGGTTTTGCTTACAATAATGAATGGCACATATATTTATTATACTTGTTTTAACAGTTATACATATGCACCCATTGAAATATAATAAAACTATACAATCATTGTAGATAAGAATATGTTTAACGTTTTATTGACAATAGATGACTATCGTATCAGTTGTTATGTCAAGCAAATTCTAATATCTTCGATAACCTGCGACCCAAATCGAACATCCTCCGTGTCATCGATTCTCGATGAAAGTTACTTGTTGGTAACCTCGTTAAGAAATCGTCGTCTTCAGTTCGATGATCTTCGTTACTTAAAAGAATCTCCACCAATGTCTCGAAACATTCGCAAGTTTTGTTACTCCAGTCACGACTTTCCGAAAATGTAAAGAAAGAAAAGTACTATCCTTCGAATAATTACACACGATACAATCCTAAACCTTTTTTAAAACTTGTCGCTTTCGTTATTTTTATTATACCTCGTGTTCTGTTGTTGTCCTCAGCAATATCAACTCGTTCTGTTCCAATTCCATCTTTCCCACACTCTCCTTACTCGTAAGGCGTAATTACCGACAAAATGGCGACTGGAATTGTTAATGAATAAATTGATATTTAACGAAAAATTATAATAAACAAATAATAAAATATGAAATATTACCAAGTGTGTGTTGTAATTTTCTATGTATAATTTTCAACTCTTCTACTACGTCATCGAAATATTATTGTATACATATCGTTTGATCGTAATCATTTTAAAAAAGAAGTAGCAAAAGCAAACATTATTATACGCGAGCTTATTCTTCTTTGTGAAAAACTCTCTACTCATAGATTCGAGAAACGAGATTCGAGATAAATGCAAACGATTGTTTCTAAATTAGTTGATATTCTTGGCACGGAAAACCATCTCACTCTTTCCCTTTGCCTCAATCCCTCAGATATAATCTCGTAAATACGTTATCCTTTTAAGAAACAAAAGAACGAAAAATTGCTTCAGCAATCTTCACATTTCATAATATAATATAATACTCGCGTCGATTATAATCATTTTTCCGTCAAACTCGATTCTTTGACTCTCACATATGCGTTTTCCATAACTCGCAATCTTAACAACATCTAGAAAAATAATTCTTAGAAAATTCAATTAGAATAGTAGGAATATGAAAAAAAAAAATGAATGTTGTCTGAGAAAACGGGTTTAAAAATGAAACCTGTGTAAAATGATATTAATCGTTACCAAAATGGCGGTGTCCTCAAAATTTAGATTCTCACGAACTTATTTAATGGAGAACGAACACATTAGGCAAACTAAACGTGTTCAAAATTATTATTCATATTTCTATTTCTATTTCAATGTGTGTTATTTATCCACATTTCTACAAATCACATACACTTAAGTTAAATATTATTTGATTGCCTGAAAAGCTCGTGCTGATTTCAAAACATTTATATTAATATTATATATATATATTTTTATTTATAAATATTTTTCATTTAATAAATAAAAATAATTTTAAATGGTTCTTATAACTGAATCCTAGCTTGGAAATTTAACATTTTTCTGGCTTTAATATTTGTAGAACTTGGGATCTAACTGACGTCATAGAAACATTCACTTTTCTCTTCTCAGAAATTCCATATCCGTAAAGAGATCTTCCTAGTTCGATGATTCTTGCTTGCTTAGCTTGATTAATGTCCTTTTTTTGTATCATAAAATAAATGTTACTTTGGTAGTCGTTCCGTCAAAAGGGGAAACGTCAAAAGAAATTATATAGATAAAAAATCGAGTTTGTCACAACACATACATGTTATAAGTTATGAAAAATAAACACTGCGTTTGTTTCTGTCACGATGCGAAAAGTATGAGGGCTCCCCGTTAGCGCTTTCTCTTGAAATTAGAACAATGAGCGTATACTACTCGACTTGATAGCTGGAAATTCTCATTAACTACTTGACTTACCTTACCACCATTTCGATCCTACCGAAGCATAAACCATAACGTAAATCTTCAAAGAATCTTTGTCATTCCAAATCAAAGCAAAAATTTGTCGATCCTAGTTTTTCGAATCTTGAAAGAAAAAAAAAACAAAAAGAATAGTGGTTGCTCATTGAGTGTGCGAAAGAAAAAGAAAAAAAAAAGAACGATGCAACCCGGTTACGGTTTTGACTGATCTAACCAACCGAAAAAAAAAAATAAAAGAAATAGGTTAAAATTTTAAGAACAGTTTCGAATGTTTCTCAGACTGAATCACCTCTTGGTGTACGAAATAAGACGAATATTGTAAAAAGGGAGAAGACAAAGATGAAATAATGGTGAATGAAAAGATGTCACGTGAGTCATCCACCCAATGGTATTTGCTTAGCTGCGGTATGTTAAGTTAGCTTTCACCGCGAAGGAGATGAGATAAAAATTGCAAAAGGAGAGACCTTATCGATAATAGACCTTCACTGTCTCGATTTCGTTCGACCTCTTTCTTAACCGATGTTTCTCACGCTCGTACAAAGTAGTCCCGGCTATATAGAATTGTCGCTTTTATAATTAGAAGGAATATATCGATCGATATCGCACATTTGAATTCCCACGATTCTGCAAGGCCAATATCTTCATTTCTAATATACGTTTTAAATATTGAAATAAGTATAGTTCTCGATATTGAAATAATGCATTGGTAGGTACCACTTAAGCTCTTACACTCGAAGATTTATTTAATCAAATTATTAATAGAATATAGTTCAACATGCAATAATTCACTGAAAAAAATGTCATTCAGAATGTTTTCATTTTAAATTATATACATTATATACATTATGTATATTAAATATATACAGCCTTTGGAAAATCATATAAACAACATACAAAATAAAAGAATTTTCATAGAGGACAACGTGCCAATCTGAAGATGAATTTCGAGGAGGGCAGTGTATCGAACATATATTCCGTGCTTTTAAATAATAATATACATTTCTTTTGATTAATTAACAATTATTTTAATACTCTAATATATTCTACTTATATTTAATATTATTTAAGCACATATATACATTGGATTAAACATTGAATACTTATTAACGTACTTTAAATAGAAAATAATTATAATTTATTCTACATGTTTCAACCCTCTCGGTACTACTGCCACCTATCGGCGGTATTCACTAAACGTTCTTTGGGTACTACCACTGCCCATTGGCGACATCTACTAAACGTTCTCTGAGCCCTACCCGGCCCTACTACCATCCATTGGCGGCACCTACGAAGGGTAGAGATAAGGAGTATCATCTGTGTATATGAAAAGTGTCCGTCGAAATGCATTCAATTAGGGTGGCGCCACAGTATCTTCAGGGTAAATTTTAAAGGAAGCGCCAAATATTATTAGAGTAGGATAGAGAAATAAACAAGGAACACAAATTTTACCCATAACTATTTTGTTATTCACATACTTTTTCATAAAATTAAATGATAAAATATCAATAAATGTACTATTCACAGTTCACGAAATAAAATCACTCTAGCTACACGTTTTCTCATAATAATTCTTTAAGGTTATATTTACTACATTATTTTCTACTGCGCAAGTAGTTGACATTTTCAATAATTAACTACTTTAGTCGCCAATAATAGTAAATTTTTTAACTCGACATACTTTAATTTGTTAACAATTGCTACATTTATACCATACCTTTTATCTACATCAGCGCCATTCTGGAAGGTTTTTGAATTGTTATTTATAGCATACGCTGGATACTTTTTCAAATTTTCTCCTATATGAGATGATACTCCTTATCTCTACCCTCCATAGCGGCACCCAAGGAAAATTATGTGGATATGATTACTCTGTATATACGTTTTATTATATATAGATAAGCTACGAAAAACAAATTGGTATATTTGCTTATATTATTAATTTTTTTAATGTATAACTTACAATTTGAATTTAGTTTCCTTTAGGATGAGTGTAAAATATTTGAAAGAAAAACAGAAAGGGATTAATTTATGTTATTTATTGTGTGTTATTCTATTTATAATTATTAATTATATTACTTACGTAATGTATTGTGATCTCTGGCAGGGGCGTGGCGTAGCAATTCGACCTATCTACTCTAATTTTGAATTTAGCAACCAGATAGCCTATTCAAGTGCTAGAGATCCCAATATGTGTTTAAACAATCAACTTAATGTTGATTTTTTAGTAAACCTTTTCGTAAATAGAAGAAACTTAACATGCACTACAATACAAATGCACCCTTTTTTTATAATATTCCCTATAAAATTAATATAACATACTCTAGAAAAATAGAGAAAAAAAATATAAAAAATAAAAAATGTCTTACAATAACCTAGACTTCCTAACACTTCTCTTGTTAATACAAGGACACCATGTAAGTTATATATATTAATGTAGATTTGGTTTATTCTTAACCACTAATCTCCAAAAATATTTTATAGATTGTTTTTAAATATTGAAACAACGTTGTATTCACATACAGGTATGTTTTTATTAGATTAATTTATTTATAAAATAGTTAATTAATTCTTAATAAATAATTGTACGATACAGGTAAGTTCAGCACCATCTGTTGGCCATAGATTTCGGTGAATTCGCGTAACATTTGAACGCAATTATACTCTTCATCTATACGACGTCATATTTTCGCTCAGTCTGATTTTTTAATATTTATATTCAATTTTTATTGTAATATTTAATTTTGTGTAACATTGTGTTGAATTGAGTTTAATTATCTTGTGTCGTCTTCTAAAAGGGACAGGGAACAAGGTAGATTATCTTCTGCAGGGAAAATGCTGTTTATGGTTTTACGTCTAGAAAAGGATTGAGGTTCCCACGCAGGGTTCTTTATTACTTAACAAAGTTTGGGGAGATGTAACATTTTTGTTTAAACAATTTTGAAAAAAAACCTTTGTTTTCTTGTCTATTTATTCAGACTGCGCCACATCAACGCGTGATGGGGCACAGCTAGTATTTCTATAAATAACGTATTTATAAATTGTTAATATGATACGAAATTAAAATCTTTTAGAAAAGTTTATGTCTAAATTTTGTAACCCTTTACATAATTTAGATGTTTCTTTTTCAACGAACCTAATACGGTTTGATCTTCTGTTATTTAAATGCGAATTTGTAACATGATCACCAAGATAACGGCACCGTGAACACAATTTAAGACAAGTCCTCGCCTTCAATTTGGACGTTGTCACTATCTTACAAAATTTACATAATTTATTATATTTTGCAACTGGTATTAAACATTTCTCTTGAAATGATCTGTATTTTTGCAAATTTTCCTCAAACATTTCACGAAATATAGGATCTTTAAACATAAATGAGTCTTTCAAGCTTTCGTACTCTTCTACTGGGGACGTCAAAATACGATAATAGATGTCTGGATTAAATATGATATTATTATATAGAGGAGAAACTTTATCTCGTGTTATGATATAAGGTATGTTATTAGCATTATCTTCCATTATTTTATTTATATACAACTTATCCAAATCCAATTGAAATCGAAACGGACAGTCACGATAATGTGTTTCGTTAAATTCACAATAAATGCAAATATCGTTATTTTTATATAACATTAAAACGCATGGATAAAGGTCGTATACATCATTGATAGAATACCATATCTTTATTGTAAGGTCCATAGTTTCAAACATGGAGTATAGATCTTTTTCCTGAAGTGCTGTCTTTAGTTTGGCATTTCTTACTTTACTTATAAAAATGTTTATAGCCGTTCTTTCAACAATTGTATCGTCTACATTTATGTCTTTATTAACGTTAGTTAAGTTGATTCTTTCTGTGTAGTAGTGTACTATTTGTAATAATCTTAATGCGAATCTCACAGGATTTTCATATACCTTCTGTTCTTGTTGATTAAGTTCGTCGATATATTGCTGTTCGTTCTTCAATATGTAAAATCTCTTCAATACCAACATTATTTCATCAAAATATATTAATCTTTGAGGAAATAACTTAGAAGCTTCTCCCTGAATTTTACTACGAATAATGTCTATAAACTCCCAATGTTTTGATAAATCTATCTGCTTAAAAGCTTCTTGGCATGATTCAATAAATGAAATCGGACTTATATCACCAGTACCAGTAAAAATCCCAATAGATTTTGTTGCCTGGTCTGGCGTAAGTTTTTTATCTTTAAAAAGATCTAATTTCTCACTTAAATTTGCCATAGAGAGTTTTTCTGATAATGTATCCATTGAAGGTTGATTATTTGTATTACATTCGTTACATTTACCAGTTGCCATTTTAACAAATATTAATTTATATTAATAAATTTCGTAACTTATATTTGTTATCTCGAATATTTGTTGTGTATTTCTTCCAACTTATAGAATTCAACAAGATGGCTTCATACACTACTGCACTTCAATTTTCATTCGAAGTCTAATATAACTATCCACACGAAATATAAAATATGTTATTAATGCTAAAACTTGTATACTAACACAAATATCTCGTATTATAATTACTATATGACTTATTCCACATTCCACGATGATAAACAATAAAAATTATGCTTGCATGCACAAAACACGAGGTTAGAAAGGCTACCAGTTGTGTGTAGAAAATTATATATAGATATATATAAAGTAGATAGGATACTGTATTCTTCAATAAGTACCTACTATCGCCCACTGGTGGTCCCAGTGCTAACTAAAATGAATTTTTTACACAAAAAGTGCACTTCTAACTTTCTATATTATTATATATTCTTTGCTGCATTTATGTCATTTTCATATCTACTGCTGTTAATTTATCGATAATATTAAATATTAAAAGAAATTTTCTGTAAGCAACATTTTTTGTAGTAAAAAGATTCTTATACGTAGTAATTTTTATAAAATACTTGATTAGTTATCCATTATTGTTTATCATATAGTAGTGGTATAAACGTCTTTATCATTAAAGTAATATATATTATCATTAATATTAGAAGAAAAATCGTTCAAAAAATGTAAAATATTATTTAATGATAATTAAATATTCTATAATATATACAATCACAAAAAATTTAATTATTATATACATTTGTATAGAAAATTTCTTAACAAACATGTTCTCAGCTTACGCTTATTTATCTGCTTATGACAGACATAAAAAGCTTATAAATGACTATCTGTTATTAAAAGGAGAAACTGTAACATCTTTAAAGCGAGACACGTATGTATAGTATTATAATTTTGATTTAAAAATTTACATTAATTTCGTTTCATATCATTTCATATTTATATGAATATAGTGCTTTCTATTTAAAGTTTATACACATTAGGTACTTATCGGTATCTAATTATGAAAAATTAGATTGTAACATTATAAACCTTAAGCAGCTCTTGACGTTTCGGCCTGTGTTTCGAGGTCCCGAGATAAGAGAGACTATGATGTTATCAAAGAGAATCATAAATTTCTATGGGATGAGGATGAAGACCAACCTAGTACGTGGGAAGCTCGATTAGCTAAAAAATACTATGATAAATTGTTTAAAGAATATTGTATCTGTGATTTGACTTATTATAAATACAACAAGGTATGTTATTTTATTATTAATACTTTATATGTTTTATCATCAAAAAAAGAAAAAAAATAGTAAGATAAAAATAAACAAATATGTTATAATTTTTATTTTCATTTACGAAGGTTGCGTTGAGATGGAGAACAGAGAAGGAAGTGATCGTAGGCAAAGGACAATTTGAATGTGGCAATAAAAAATGTACTTTAAAAGAAGACCTTCGTTCATGGGAAGTTAACTTTGGTTATATTGAACATGGAGAAAAGAAAAATGCTTTAATAACACTGCGTAAGTTAACAATAATTAAATATGTAGACTATATTATCATGTAATTTAATATTATTTTATTTTGAATACAAAGGTCTATGCCCAGAATGTTCAATGAAATTAAATTATCGATCTCAAAAGCGTGAAGTAAAAAGAAACAAGGCATTAAAACGTCTAGGATCACATCCTAAATCTGATATTGAAAAACCTAGTACATCCGATGATACATCTAATAATACGAGAATCAAAGAGAATGAAGATCTTTCAACGGCTGAAAATGTTGATAATACTGTGGATGAAGAATTGAAAGTTGAGAAATCTAATATTTGGAAAGAGAAACCCGTAGAATCAATAGAACGATCAAGAGAAGAAGAATTTGAAGAATATCTCGCTGACTTATTCATGTAAAAAAAAAATATAATTTTTTTTCATAGCTATATATCTACCATATTCATATGATAATAACTATTTTCCTATAATATCAATAGTGGATATATATTAGTAGTATTAATTAATTAAATATAAATTCTTCTTTATATTGATATTATTTCAGTTAAATATATGTTTGAACTCTATAATTAAGTAAAACTATATTATTCTATTTAAAATTTATTAAAATTTTAAATAATTCTAATCTTTCTATAGATATTTTGTAATATAATAAATAAGTAGTCTAAATTATGTACACAAATTTATTAACCTTAAAATTCCTCAATCATATTTTTTAGGTTAAGGTACTAAATGTTTGGTATTATGCTTCCCCATTCTATAATTTGACTGTAGTTTATATTATAGTTTAAGGATAAAAGAGATATGGAGAAAAGTATATAAAATATTGAAAATATTTGTAAATTGTATAAATAAATAATAGAATAAAAATATGTCTGTTGAGAAAACTAGTGAAAAAATTGGTGAGAATATAACAGTTAAATAATTAAATTTACTATTGATTGTTTGTTGAGGTTATGAAGTAATGATCGTTTCTTTTACAGAGAAAGAAAAAAATTTATTAATTATTGTGTTAGATGTAAATCCATTACAGAGAATAGTTAAAGAAGAAACAAAAATATTGACACAATGTTTAGATTCAACAATCGTATTTGCAAATGCACATTTAATGCAAGCATCAAACAATCAATTAGCAGTGATGGCTTGTCATGGACATGGAGCTACATTTTTATATCCTTCTGATAAGAACAATGATATACGTCAAATAGATGGACAATATGAAAAATTTACAGAGTTAGAACGTACCGTTCGACAACAAATACAACTATTTGTTAATCAAATACCCTTAGATTCTTCGTTGAATGGCGAAAGTCTTATTTCTGGAGCACTTTCTATGGCGTTATGTTATATTTCAAGGATATCTCAGGATAAAGATGGAGATGAGAAATTCTCCTCAAGAATACTCGTAATCACTGCAAGTAATGACTCAACCATGCAATACATGAATTATATGAATATATTTTTTACGGCACAGAAAATGGTTTGTATTCTATATACTGTACATCAGTTATTATAAATTATTATCATCAATGCGAACATTTGATTACATTTATTTAGGGTGTTATACTGGATGTATGTAGTTTGGATCAAGAATTAACATTGTTACAACAAGGCTGTGATATAACTGGTGGAAATTATTTGAAAGTACCACAATTAAATGGATTACTGCAGTATTTATTAGTATGTTTAAACTTTATATATATATAAAAAGTATATAGCAAAAAACAAAAACAAGAGTCTTAACAAAATTTAATTTTCTTTTTAGTGGGTTTTTTTACCAGATTCTAGTGTTAGATCAAAATTAGTGTTACCTCCTCCAGTAGAGGTTGATTATCGTGCAGCGTGCTTTTGTCATCAAGAACTTGTAGATATTGGTTACGTATGCTCTGTCTGTTTATCAAGTAAGACAATTTTCAAACATACAGTATATATTACTTCTTTCTCTCTAAGATATATTAAATAATATTTTTTATTTATAGTTTTCTGTAAATTTAGTCCAATTTGTACCACGTGCCAGTAAGTATATTTATCTAATGATATGCGGTAATATTTTCAAGAATTTTGTTTCTAATTACGATTATCTTACAGTACAGTGTACAAGATGCCAGGACCAATACCAATGAAAATGAAGAAAAAGAAAAAAAATTTAGATATCACACATTGATTATGTCGTATTTAACGGTAATATGAACAATTTTGTACAATTACAAATATACGTATACACTTTTTTTACAAGCATTGAAAATATTTATTGTAATGAGTAATGAAATATTGATGTGTTATTTAATATCACATTACAATCCTTTTTTATAGTAAACTCTATCCGGCAACTCTTCCTTTTCAATTTTTTCTTTAAATTCATTATACTCTAATGGATATATCTTCATTAAATCTGGCCTCATAGAACTAAATTATCATAAAAGAAATTTTTGTTAAATATATATTAAAAATAAAAATATTACAGCTTTTATTATTACAGATAATTACAGAAACATAAGTAAATTGTTCTTACTTGCACAGTGGAAATAATGCCAGTGCCGAGGGAATCATCACTAACAATCTATGTATATGGCATAATATAATTAAACATATATATGTATTTTATAGGTACACTATAATATTCTAAAACAAGAAAAAACATACGAAACAAGACATAAGCTCAGCTTGATCGGAAATAAGATCCATGGACGACGATAATATAAACACGTTGCTTTTATATATTCTGCTGCAATTGGAATCATAATCATTGTTGGAGTTACAGTTAACGTTCTAGTAAAAAAGCATTCAGAGGCTGCTTTAATTGCAGCAACTTTTGAATTCATTAAATGATCTTCATGAACAACCCATATAGGAATTCCTTTGCTAATTTCTTTTCGTCGTATAACAGCAAAATTAACCAAATTTCCAATCGTTAATCCTCCCAATGGAATCAGTCGCTATATTTTAATAATTATAACATTGCCTTTTGTACAAAAAAAAAAAAAAGAAATATTTCATAAATTAACCGTGAATATTGGTCCTTTGCAGACAAACATTTTCTTCAATCCAAGAACCGTCATGCAGCTAGCAGCACTGCTGCACAAAAAGGCTTCTTCTACTATGGTATCATTTTCAGATTCGTTTATCTCTTTATCTTTTATATTTCTGTTTGTATAGTTAACGATAGTAGTAAATGCCTGATTAATTATTTGCAAGCTTAAGAGAGCAGCTGTAGATCTAAAGAACAATAAATTATGCGAGATCGATTTCATTTGGATAATTATTAACAATTATTTGTTTATACTTGTAAAAAGTCATCATTGCCATAAGTAGAATGGCGTTACCGGGAAATTGAAACGACATTCTACCAAGGAGATTCATCAATTCATCATTATCAGGATGAAAGGAACTGTCGTAAAGTTTCTTCGCATAAATAATATCTTTTTTTGTCAGATCTTCTGGTTCATTTCCCAGCCTAGAATCTAACTCTTTTTATATCTTACAATATATTTTATATGTAATGAATATTTATATCATAAAATATAATGTAAATATACATAAAATACATACACCAGGATGGATTGAAAAGTTTTAAGCCTAGCATAGGAACATTGGTCAAATGCATAATTTGTTTTTTTAAATAAACGTTTTTTTTTTTTTGTTAAGTATCAGAAATTTTCAATTCATCCTCGCATAAATTTCTCAAGAAATCGCATCTATGATATTTTGTATCATTACTCACGCATAATCGTGACAAAGTTGTTTAGCTTGAAATAATTTTTGTTTCGGTACAAAAATAGTTCGGAAATCGCTAATGAAAGCCATTTGTTTCCATCTTCCAATATAAGTATTTTGATCCCATAATGACTCGTCAATGTTTATTCGTTCTTCTAAATTGCATTCTTTTAAATTTATATCCTTATTTGACACTTCCATCAACTTATTTTTGCTTTTTACAATTTGCGATATCGTACGCGTTTCATCCATCGTATATAATATGAATTTCTTTCAAAAGTTTAACTTAGAAAAATCATTTAAAGAAAACTGAATTGTAAGATAATACTAAGTCTAATCGATCTGTATTTTAATTAATTTATTTTTCCTTGTTTTCATAAATCTATGTTCATGTGAAAGTATCATTTGCTTTCTAATAAATCAAAATTTTAAAATATAGAAAATTAATTCGATAATTCGATATTTAATATTCGAAGGCAATATCAGAATGGTATAATTTTATTTATGAGTCGGTTGAAAAGTTTTGAGCCTCGACTCATAACAAAATTTTATTTCTTTTTTAATTAAAGTTATATGGAAAAACGATTGTACTTATAGTTCATATTTTCCCGCATTCTTCGCTAGAGTCAAATAACACACTCCTTCTAACGAAACGTATAAATAATTTTAATTATTCGATAAATTATATTGTAAATTCATAAATAAATGTTCATAGAAGAAATATAATTTCGAGAAAAACAAGTAATAATATTTAAATAATGAATAAATATATTTTCTTATAAACTTTGTAAAAAAAAGAAAAAAAAACAGGAAATTATAAAAAAGATTTTTCAATATTTTTATCATGAGAGAATGCATTGCAATAATTAAAATCGCACGTGGAAGTCTGCACATGCGCGATCTGCCTTGGACGCATTTTGATTGGCCCAAGATCTATAGCCGCTCTAATTGGCCAGCCAGTGCCCACGTGACATTGCTCGGTACGATACATCGAAGGTGTCTTGTAAACATCATTCCGCGACAATTTGAAAACAGTTGGAAATTTTGCGACAGCGTGATATGATGTCAAATTCGTTAGTACATAATCGTAATGCGTTTTATAAGTGCTAGTGTATCCTTTATACGGTATTACGCATAATCTTTTTGGATAAATCAAAGGAGGATTAGAAGTACAACGTGGAAAAGGCAAGGGACCTTTCGTAGGTATACTTTTTGGTAGAAAATTATGACATTTAGATTTTTTGTTAATATTTTTTTCAGCAACATTACTGGCTCTTTCATTAGATGTAAAATTAATGTGCGTCATCTTAGTGGTGCTTACCAATGAATCCAAATGTTTATAAAAACCAGGTTCGTTCGAGGCTATCGTAGGAAATTCGTGTTTGCCCGTGTTTACTATTGGACAAATTGCGTCATCTATAGGACTACTCTGTGATAAAGTCCATGACCCAAATGGAATTGTTCTTCTCATATAAGTTGACCCTTATTATTTTCGATTCAAATTTCGATTTATACAAAAATTTAGTTAATAGATAATGATTGATGATTTCGAAGGAAAAAAAAGAGATTACGACTAACCAGTAGTCGTTGAATGGGTTAATGGTCGTACCGGATCCTTCCTAAATTTTTCACATAAATTCTTTAAAGTAGGTCTTGCCGCTATCGATGATCTTCGATAAGTTTCAGATCGGTCTTCGATCAATTTCAGTTTATAATCTTTATTGTAAGATGACACGTAATGTTCCAAGAATTCTTCACCCTTTATTGATTTAATTTCACATTTGGTTTTAAACCTTACGTTATTATGTTGTTGTTTTTTTAATGACCATGGACTTTGACTTTGATAAAAATAAGACCTTTCATATGAAGTTTGAAAACGGTTACATGGTTTTTTTACTTCAACACGTACGAAACGTTTTCGTGGACAAGTAGGCATAATTGTTATTGATATTTTTTAATTTCTATTTTTTTTTTTTTTAAATTGTATACACGATAAGAAAATAAAGAACAAGAAATAAACACTTTTCTTAACATACACATAAATCAAAAAAATAAATATTTATCTTCAATCATGTAAAATGAAAAATGTGAGGAAACAAAAAAAAAACAATCGTTTTTCTAAGAAATTAAAAAGTAGAAAGACGATTATTTGTTCCAATGAAAAAGGAGTTTTAAAAAGTTATATATAGCAGGACTTCTCAAACTCTTTCACTTGAGGACTTATGCTTCCAGAAATTTTCCAATTTTCCTAACATTTCTTCAACCTCCAAATTTAGTTATGTGACCCCATGTGAGGGGGTTTTGCAACTCATATTTTAAGAAGCCCTGATATAGAAACAAGCAAATTTTTCAAATACAAATTGATAAACAAGTAATGAATTGAAGTATTTCTGCATTGTTCATTTTATTTTATACACGAAATCGCTACAATGTTTCTTTTTGAAATTAGTAGTTTCAGTAATGATTATTATTTTTTTGTTCTCTCTTTCTCTTTCTTTTTGTTTCATTAACTGTTTCTTATTTTTCTTTCTTTTTTCCTTGCCCTGTTTTTGTATCTTTTTAAATACTTTTTTTCCCTTTAAAAGCGTAAAACACGTATGTTAGAATTTTTTTATTAGCCTTGCTCATTCATTCGTTTGAAAATAGTTAACGAATGAATCGAGCGGACTATTTAAGCTTGTCCGGACTAATAATTATATATTATACCAGATGAAATTTTTTTAGTTAAGGACGTAACACAAAATTAAATACGTCGATTTTTGAGAAAATTAATTTCGTGTACCTTCTATTATTATTATCATTATTATTATTATTATTATTATTATTATTATTATTATTATTATTATTATTAATATTATTATTATTATCAGTCCCATAGATCGTATATTTAGTCAAGAGGAAAAAGTTTTATTTTCCAATGTGAATTTATAGAAACTAGCTAAAAGTGGTTACAGTGTAGGATGATGCGAAAGGTTTTTATAAATCATTTTAAATGATGATAATAATAACAATGATAATAAAAAAGAAAAAAAGATTGATTGAAAGTTTAATAATAAAATACAACAGGGGTAAATTTAATTATTCTGTTCGCATCATCTCAACTGATTTCCTTAGTTCTCCTACAATAAAAACACAGTAAAAATCAAAAGTCCAGCGAGAAAGATCAAATGTGTCACTAAAACTTCTTTATCTTGGTCAGCTTTCTGCTTAACTAAACAGAAACACAAAACCTTAAATACGCAAGACCAAGCCCGAATAAAAAGTAATGACTTAAATTTGAACGCGTTGAAAAATTTATATAAAATGAAATTAACAGATTCCTAACTAAGTTGGTACCCGATAAACAGTTCCTAAGAGGTAGGTAGCAATCCATCCTTATAGCTTATCCACTAATTATAGTGAAATCAATTTTTTCGACCTCCTCGTCTCTTCATAGAAGATGTACATTGAGGACAGTACCACTTCCCTTTTGGTGGTGCAGTAATACCAACACATGGGTAGTGGAACCATTCGAAAGGGCACTAAAAATCAAAGATAATTAATATTTAATATATTCAATTTAAAAAAGATTTATAAAATGACATAAATAATAGGACATTCTTACGTCTGAATTATCGCAAGCAACCATATCTCCATAAGATACTTGATTGCATATACAATATCTTGGTTCATTAGGATCATACGTCCAATCTGGATTATCTGAATCCGTGACCGTCGTTGTCGTTGTCGTCGTTACGATTGGTGGTGATACAGGTTGTTGAACCGTGGCAGCAATGACACTTGAGCTTGGAATGGGATTTACTTTCCTGTATTATAGCACCACATTAAGTAACAAATATTCAATTAAAATAACTTTTTATAAAGTATGGTACTAAAAGGTTGCATACTTTTTATGCTTTTTAGTTGTTTCGTGGATAGCTGCGATAGCAGTTTGAGCAGCTCCAGCTAATTCTCTACTAAATTCGGCAGCATGGACACCACCTATATTAATGGCCTCGTAACTAGCTTTTAAACTAGCTGTCCGCCTGCCTTGTTGCATTTGTTGTGTTGCAGCTATAGCTTGAGAAGCAGCTGCTGCTATGGCATTACCACCAGCGCCTATATGACCAAGGTTATAGCTCACAGAGCCAACTGAATTCACAATAGCGGATGGGGTTGATGGTACGCTTGTAGGTGCTATTATTGGTCCGGAATTAGTTGATGTGGGCCGGGACTCAGGAAGACTTGGAGGAATTTTTTCTATCGCTAATCGTTTCTCTATAGAAGTAGAAGACGTATTGGAATCTCTCCTTTTCTCTGATCGAGCTGCAAAATATTAATTAACATTTTATAATTCAGAAATTAAAGACACATTAAGAGATCAGACATAATTAATATCAATATCCAACTTACAATGACCATGATTGTCTCGTGATCTACTAGGCGTGAAACTATAATGATTTTCTTTTTGACTGCTATTCGTAGAAGGTTGATCTAACTCTAAAGATCTTTTTTCCAAAATTTCAGTTATTCCTTTATTATCAGCTTCTAATTCCATTTTAAATTTATGTAATTCTTGATCTAGCCTTCTTAAATATCTGTCTACTAAATCGTACATTTGATTAGCTAAATGTACTTTCTCATCCGCATCTTCTAAAGTTTTATAATATTCTTTTCTAATAGCTTCATACTCTGCTTCCTTTTCATTAGGCTTCATCTTTTTGGCATTTGAAAAAAATGTCTTAACTTTTTTCTCTAAACTATCCATAGAATCTGAAAACAATTAAAACATGCTATAAAATAGTCTTACATTGAGAGCACATATTGAAGAAATATTCTTTTTCTATACATACAAATTTATATAAACAGGCATGAGAGCATCGCATAGAATACATACTTTGTACACCTAAATCCATTTCTCTCATTTCAGTGAACCGGTCCCTTAATTCTTGTGGGAGATGCTCTATCACTAAAAAAAATAAATGAACAGGGTCAACATAACCAAATTAAATAACATTACAGTTGTCATGTTTCAAATAATAACAATTTAGAAATAATTGAATAATATATAATAATATTATGTCGTAGATATGTTAAAATTATTCATATTATTGTTAAAATGTTTGAAAAAGCTTTAAAAAGTAGTAATAATTCTACTAATCATTTGACAAATATCTTCTTAACCTAAAAATTATGAACATTCTATGAAGGAATGTAGTCCTTTTCTCGTGGAAAATTTGTTGATGTAGAAAGTTAAATGGTGTCATTTGTGGTATTTTCATCGGTAGGTGCAACATCAAAATTGAAAACTATTTAAAAAATAAATTGTGAAATGTTTTCTCATGAAGGAGGGTGTATTCGGAAAGGTTAGTAAGTTTTCTCGTGAAGCAGGATAAAACGAAGCACGCCTCGTTTTTACGTACTTTCAACATAATCTTCCAAGTAAAGCATCCTCTCGTACCGAAGTTACCTTCACCGCTGTCCGATTTATAATAATTAATAATTTACAATAGGAGAGTGCTCGCCGCCGTAGAAGGATTAACGAAAATTGTAGCACTCGATCGGAAGCGTGTTTACGGCGGTCAGAAGTCTCGATCTACCCGCATGTTCTTATAAGTTATCAATAATAAAATTGGTACGAGTTTTCTAACTTATTCAAATCTAACGTCCTACGAAATAAATATCATACGATCGAAAAATAAGGGAATCAATTATCAGTTCATTCTAATTAATCCAGCATAATTTCTAATTAATACTGCTCAGTTCTCCGTTCCGGTATTGTCCGCCATCTTATGGACCTTATCAGGTCCGTATATAGTTAAATCGTTTTTTGTTCCTCGGGGCACTCCCATAAATTCTGAATCAAACTTTTCTTTTCATTTCTTTTTTAATAAAATATTATTATAATTATTGTAATTATCTTTCACACATTGTGTGAAATATTTCATTCATTCATATTTAACATTCATAAATAAATAAGAAGAATATTAGAAAAGTCAAAGTAAATCTTTGTTATGGCAAATTCAAGTGAATTACGTGTTCTTTCATTCATCTTCTTTGAATGAACGAGCACGTTCATTGGCTACTGATAAAAACGTCCAATAATCTTTTTATTATTCAATAGGGTATTGTACAGTATCATACCAAATTGAACGTAATCGTATAATCACGTTTTCGCAGATTATTTTTGAAATAGATTGAAACAAAATGATTCGAAGAAATCCAACGAAAATCGAGTTGCGATTGGACGACTTGCAGGAGTACGAAGCTATGAAAAAAGCACACGAAGCAAAGAAGGAAGCTGAGAGGCAACAAAATTTTAATCCTCCTTCATGGAATGGAAAAGTTCCACAAAATGAAATTCACGAACGTATTGGATACATACCACAACAAAATCAACAACCTAGACATTCGAGGCCTAACATATAAGCGAATAATTTTTATTTATTTATTCTTAAGAAAAAAGAATCATAATAATAATAATAAATATAAAATACAAGTGAAGGATGTAATAAATTCTAAAACAAAATCTCATTTTCAGCACAATTTCTTTTGTAATGTTTACTGAGATTTTACTAAAATATACATGGCAGCATATTATTCTTTTCAATTTTTTTTATATATTTTAATTCGACCTTCTAAGAACCAGTTGGCGAGTTCTCGTGCGATATGACTAGTTTAGTTAATTCTTTTTTAGGCATGGTGTTTCTTTCATTTGAAATACACTATTAAAGTAACAATTGAGCTTTTTCACAATCCAAAGGGATTAATTCCACTTTTGAAATGTTATTTTCATTTTATTGTTAAAGCACTTTTAATTGAAGTACTTCAATTTTTATATTTCAAATAAATTTGATTAATAAATTATATAATACTTTACATTATTAATTATAAAAAATTAATCATAATTTTACCTTATGTTTGTAAAATAAAATACAATATTAATTATTGAATTATTTCAAAATATAGAAAAACTACATCTGTAACAATAAATTCTGTGTTTGAATATACAAATATTGTAGAAGAAAAATTTCCACGCATGCATTGAATTATAAATGCTTTTTACTTTTTATTTCGTGGAGTTAAGTACTTTGGTAAATGAATAGCTCGAATAATAAGTATCATTGCCTGAGATATGAAACGTAAGAACAAAAAGATATGTCAAATTATTGATAATCATTTAAAAGTGCTAATTAGCACTTATTTATTGCTAATTAAATGATTTTGTTTCCTCTTTGTGTTGTCCCTCTTACCCTTCGTTTACGCATTAATATAGCATATGAAAGACAAAAAGATAATGTCTTCCTATAGCACAAAGCACCAGTTTATTTATTGTCACTGTTTATTCTTATTACTGCTTGCTTCATCCTACCAGACGATTGCTTGCCTTTTCAACGAAAATGTTTCTATATAATATTTGTAAATGTAATCTGAGAAATGTTTGATTAATTCATCTACATGAGCTAACTTCATGTATATAAACGTATAGACAATTAGAAAAAAAAAAAAAAAACAAACAAACAAACAATATAAACAAAAATAATAAAAAAATTATTTGAATGTACAACAAATAGCACCGTAATACCTAGAATATAAATTATTATTATACTTATTATCATCGCTATCATCTCTATCATTGATATCAATCTCAATAATTCACAATTCTATTGAGATTATTAGATCAAACTTAGTTCTAACAAGTTTCTCACGAGGAACTTAAACAACAAGACGTCATTATTATTATTATTCGTTTTTGGTGTGAATCTTTGAGCGTATTATAATCCCTTGTTGAAATAAAGATACTTAGGTATATCTTTTCCTTCGCAATTCTTCAATAAAAGTTCGTAACTTTCCGGTTCCCATCGTTGTAAAGTACTGACTGCGATCGAACTAAGAAGAAACAACATATTGATACGAGAATTTCGATAATGATAGTGTACTTCTTTTCTTTTACGACCATTAGATTAAATCTCGAGGATTTTTGTCTTGTTTTTGGTTTGTTTGTTAAAACGTAAACTTACCAATTTTGCGGGAACAACGCACAAGCAGTCGGCACCATGAACGTTAAGCTGAAAAAGTCATCAATGATTTCATAAACGTCTTCGTTTCGTTACTTTTTAATGAAATTTTGAAAAAAAAGTATAGAAAGTTTTTGAAAAAGTTATACTTACAAGCATCCAACCATCATGACCTGTATGGGTGCATGTAACAGTTTAATTTTTTGCATCCATGCGTATTTTTCTAATCTTTCCATTATGGGTGGAAGAATCACTGAAATGATATAAATATTGAATTATTTTATATATAAATATATATATGTGAATATTACTGGTATAATGTAAAGCTTCTTTTTTAAGGTCATACTTACACATGCCAGGTGCACACATAATGATTCTCGAGATAACAACTTGACTGATGCCCTTCGCAGCAGCGATCTTAAAAATTTATTAAATTATATTAAATGAACATTAATAATATTTTATTCTATTAATATTACAAATTTTGATTTGTATATTCCTCAAAGAATAAAAATCTAATGTTTACCTTGGATTTACTAAGTTTTCGACCATTTTCATCGGTAACTTCGATGCCATGGAGTATCTCATTTTGTCTCATTAGCGGTATATTCGCACAATTAGCAGCAGCCACCGCAGCGAATGGCACGTACCTCTGCGAAGATTAACGGATTACCGATCGATACCGTTAAATATAACGTGTTAGTAATAGATAATGATTGACCCGATCAACTAACTGCCATTAAAGGATTTGCTCTTTTCTCCCAAAATGATTTGCATCCTATCGCTGTTATCATTGCTGCTGCTGTGGCACTCATATAAGCCATACCCAATTGACGTGTTGTCACTGGACTGTTTGCATTTCTATTGGTATAATTGACAAGTGCGTTAAATGATTGATTGACCCATTGCCAAAAAACTACAGCCGTGGTTGTTCTGAAATAATAATATTATTGTTTTAATTATTATTTTTATTCTTAAGAGAACTAAATTTTTGTAATGCTTTAAAAAATAAGATTTATATTATTTCTATTAGAATAATGTTGTAATTATTGGGTTGGTAAGAAAGTAATTTCGGTTTTCTTTCTTGCCAACCCAATGTATCTACGTTTTATAAATAACTTTAAAAATATTTGGAAAAATTAAATTTTCACTATTTTTGTTAAAAATAATTTTCTATTATATTTTTATTTATTTTAATGTTATAAATAATAAAAAAATACGTCAATAAGCATTAGATGGAAATATTTTTGCAAAGAAGCAAACGAGTATAAGGATCAAAATAATAAAAAATAAAATAATAAAAGGTCAATGTTATTTACTTATAGAATTGGAGCATGGCACCGGTCACGGCCATACCACCTGGCACCTGGAAGGACATTCTACCAAAGACATTTTGTATATCACCAGTGTCTGGGTGATAGGCCGACTCGTAAAGTTTCTTGGCATAGATGATTTCTTCTTTCGTAGTACCAGCTGGCTCATTTCCAAGTCTGCAAAACAATATTGTTCAATACTGATGATGATTTCTTCGAAAATATTCGAACTATCCAAATAAAAGAAAGAAAACTTTTGAAATTTTTCAATTTATCTCGTAATCCACGTTCATTGACTTTTTTTTATTTTATTTTAATCGTTGTTAAAAGTCTAACATTTTTTTTTTTTTTGATTAATAAATATCTTTAAAATAAGTGAAGATAATTTCAAAAAAAAAAAAAATATAGATTTAATCGCTATACCTTTTATTATCATTAAACGTAAATGAATGTTTTTTTTAACAATGAAAATTGTGTATCGATGGAAATGTTTTAACATTTAAAAAAAAAAAAAAGATATCATCAAGCATTATTTATTTATAATATTTATACTTTAGTATTCTCATTTAAATTTCAAACGAACTTGTACTTACCTGTAATCTTCGCATAATTTCTTAGCAATAATTATTTGTTCTTCGGGTACGATGCAAGTCCGAAAATCCGTAACCCATGCAAAATGTTTCCATCTACCTGCAAAGGTACTTTGATCCCAAAGTGGCTTATCCAAATCCAATCTCTCGCTCGTCATTATGCTTGCTAATTAGAACACGTCTATTTTTCTCTTTTTTTTCTTTTTCTATTTTGATCTGAAAAATTGTCATGAAAAACGAATATAATATCTAATGAATTACATTTTTATTATAATTTTAAATGGCAGTAAAAATACAATCACTTGAATAAATATCTTTTAAACTGCGTGAACATGTACTACTTTTGTACGCGTATGCGCATATTTATGATTGTATTATTTAACAAGTTTTCAAACGAATTCGTTATCGAAGATTCATCTAGTTTTACAAACAAAAAGTACATAATAAATTATTGTAACTAGTGATAAAATATTACTTGATGAAGTATTCAAATATTGGATAAAATTACAAACAAATTAGATGTATTCGTGATAACTTCGAATGAATATATATATATATCATATTTTTGAACTATTATTAATACAAAAAAAAATATTAAATGTTATCAATATTCATAAAACATAAAAAAACAAACAAGGTCAGACAGGGTTAAATAAAGATCATCAAATAGAAAATAAAGGTATAAAATTATGTGTATTAAAATAATCTATTTTAACGATCGGTTTATGTATAAAATTCTAAAAAAGAAAAAATATAAAAACAAACAAAATAATCATAAAACTCTCATCATAACATAGGTAAAATGATATACATACAGATAAATAAAAAGAGAATACAATCGATCATCGATTAGTTTAAAGCAATTTAGTTTTAATCACTCGATATCGCTTGAGAAAGTTCGGTGTCCAATCGTGCATGATCGTATCATGAAATGGCCGGGGCCCCGACTTCAATTGGCCGAATCCTGTCAATGTTTTCCACTCGACTTATTCGCGATAATATGTGTCTGCACAATGCGAGAAAAAGATAATTGCAATAGTTATAATCTTTTGATTTATTTATTATGGAATTAGATATATACTATCATAAAATCACTCCCTAAATAACTACAGTGACAACGAAGAGAGACACGAATGAGACAACAAAGTAGTCTCGAAAAATATCGATCATATCGTATTGTATCTACGAAACAGAGACATCCTTCTAACTCACATATTTACATCGTCAGATTTGAATTGTTTAGTTCGATAAAAAATTATAACAATTAAACGAACGTTACTAATCTTGATTTCTTTCTTCTGTTTATTTTTGATTTGTCTCTTTTGAATTCTGAAATTTTAACTGACACAGTGTTCAATGGTCTTCTGTGATAAACGTAGCTTCAAACCGACGACACGATTGGTAGATAATCTCTCTTGAAAAAATCCTAACATTCGTTCATTAAATTGTTCACACACAACTATTCGTATATTATGCAATAAGTTTTGAGAGATTATGTAAAACGGATGGTATATTCATTTTTTTTTCGTTGGATGAGCTTACCCGTTGAACGCGTACAACCTCCCTGGAGCTTCTGTTGGCTCCGGCTGTCTGACGTCAACGCGAGAGCGCGCTAATCTGCTGCTCCCCAATTTTGCCCTCTTTACTTAATACGTCCCTGGCTCCACTACCATCTTCCTTCTTAATACCCCACCCTTTTTTGTTTGCTCTTTTGGTTTATTCTTCTTCTTCTTCTTCTTCTTCTTTATTTTTTTCTTATTCTGTTACCACCTTTCTGACACGTGTGATCATTATTGCGATATTCGATTTTTTTTTTTCTAATCCTTTTATATTTTTTACAATTAGAGTACACAATCGAATGAACTCTTTTAAATAGCCGTTTGTTTTCCAATGTATTTTTTTCTCTCTCTCTTTCTCCCTTAAGGTGAAATATGAAAATACGATTCCTTATTCGAAATATCAAACATCTGACATCTCTGATGTTATATTTTTTTATTTTTTCATCTTCATCTATTCTTGATATTTGTATGCGTGTATTTTGTGCGCATGCGCATATTAAAATATTTTTTTGTTTAATCATTAACTAGTAGAAAGATAAAGAATTAAAGAAAGAGATAAATTTATGAGTCGTGCAAAAGGACGTAATTAAAGTTCTTGACGCGTTAAGAGATACTTGTAAAGATATGAAGTTTTCTAATAAGAAATCATATCTACTTTTAATCATTAAATAATACATATTTGAAATATACAATGACAAAGCATCGACGTGTTATTTATTATCAACTAATGGTGATCAAATTAAATAATCATTTTAAAAAATGAAATTAAATACTTACGTATTACTTACATATATATTTGACACATTTCATTTGATTAATGAGTTTTATCGGAAAATATAAAAACGGAGACAGATTTTCAATAACTCAGAATTTAAATAAATAAACAAATATTTTAAAAATCATTTTTACTAAAATATTTTTTCCTGAATACACACATACAGATATTCTTTTGAACGATTCAATATGTCTACCATTATGCCAAACTATGCAAAATTATATTTAAACTTATTTTAACTATTAAAAATACTATTTTTAATATTTATTTATTATTTATTTTTAGTATTATCTAAATATTGTTATATTATTGTTTGATTTAAATTTATATTACATACTTCTTATTAACCAACGTAGTTCATATATTATATATATATATTACATATGTATTCGTTAAATCCTTTGAATAAAACTAGTTTATTGTTAGGATAAGCGCTCTCATTATCTTCTTTATTTTTTTAATTCAAAGATGGCAAGAACAATGTTCTCTTTAAACAAATGCAAATGTTGAAATTTCTACTTTTAGAAAATAAATTCTCATGATACGTAGCGCAGTACGTATATATGCATGTATATATGTTTGTATACGTATGTATGTGTGTGTGTTTGGAACTTAAATATCGTATAGTATGAATACTGAAATAAATTCCTACTGTACAAATACTTAAATCTATCAATATATATATATGTATATATATATATGTACATATATGTGTGAACCTAATCGAAACTGCCATTCTTGTTATACTCTAGGGTACCGAAAACGCTCGATATGAACGCGCATTTCTCGGAGTTGCGCAAAGTTATTGGCACTATCGTAGTAGAGGATTCGTTCGGATAACGCATTTATTCAAATGTTACATATGCATCCAATCGCAAAATTATGACGTCCGTGAAAACAAAAAAATAGAGAGAGAGAGAGAGAGAGAGAGATAGGAAAATCTTGGAAATATTAACGACGTTTATAAGCTTAAGATTTATAAGTATCATCGCGTAATAATTTATTTCATTCGCTATAATCCACTTTTTTTTGTAAATACAATAAAAAAATGATTTGAATGTGCGCTTAATAGCTATAATAAATTTATATCATAATACTAATCTACATATCTTTCTATATGTATACTATTTTCTTATACAGTATATAATGATATTATATACTAATGATAAAACTATTATGTTTAATACTAGATATGCCACCATTTTCAGTATACTTATTTTTACCACACTAGTCAAAATGACTGGTGTACAAGAAAAAATGCTTTTTAAGGCTTTCAGTCTTTATTTACTCTTAAAAAATAACAAAAAATATTGAACAATAATAATTTCAATAGATAAATGGATTTATAGACATTTTTAAATAACAAAACGCTTAATTATTTACAGAAATCAAATGTTACGTGAAGTAGACAATTTGAATTAAAATGGCCCGACCAGTCAAAATGACTGTGTTAAGATTATATAATAGTATTTATAGTACAAATTATAATATCATTATAATATAAGAAAAAATTAATTCTATAGAAGGATAGAATTTATTCTCTATTTGATTGTAAATCGTTGAAATATGAAAAGAATAATTTATATTTTATTGTTAATTAATACAATAAATATTCAAAATAGTATTCTCATCAGCTGCAATACACTTGCGTAAACAGCTAATAAATGTCTGCTCAACTCTTTCTATACTATATCATCTGCATTGATAGATAACTTTCGCATTCAACTTAAGCATGCATCTAATATTCTCTTTCAAGTATCTCGATATATTGTTGGAATTTTTTTTATATCATTTTATTTGTTTCCATTGAAACAAATGTAAAAAAAAAAAAAATTGTTTACTAGTAGAATGTGAAAGATCATATCAATGACGACTAATAATATTTTATCAACAACTTTGAAATCGTGTAACACCGTAATACGCAATTATTCCTCGCGTACGAAATGTAATCGTAAATATAAAATTCTTTCGATTATATCGAATATTTATCGAATTCATCTTAATGTTCGCTGAAAATGAAGTAAAACAAAAAAAATTACAGATTTTTATAATGAAATTGAAAGATGACCTTGAAAATTCCGAGGAAGAAAAAATAGTAGAGAAAGTTTATTATAATCGTATTAAAAGCTTCATTTAAATCATGTTATATTAGACATACAAATTGTCGATTTGAAATGACAATTTATTGTTAATAAAATGAAACAAATTTTTCAAAAATACAGCGCATGACTTAAATGTTACGTAACTTTTTAAATTTCTTTTATTTGTATTCAATCTTATACAATTAAACTTATTTTAGAAAATTTATATGAAAAATATTTAGAAAAACATGCGTAGATAGTAAACATATACAGGGCCATTTCCAAAATATAGAATACGAAAAATACGCCGAATTTCATCACACCATCGCATTCTCATATATATATATTAGAGAACGTTCCTTTGTTTCGAGCCGTACGTACACTCATTCGCTTTTGTTCGAAATCTTTTCAGGTGTACCGCAAAACACACGGTTGTATATTCTAGCACGATGTCATCCGTGGCATTTATATATATATATATATATTTATGTGAATATATGCTTGTATGTAAAAGTAGAACTCGACCTCCTTTACGTTCTCGAGGTTCACACACACACACACTCATATGTTTAGCGAATATCTACGAAAAAAGAATTATATAGTTTTTCTAACTTTAGGTGATCAGTATTATTTTTTTTTAATCATTTATGTATTATTATTCGTTTTCGAAGAGATTATTAAATTATTAATGTAATCGATGTATAGGTCAAGCCACAAAAGTAGTTGAAACGCCAGACGACTAAACGACGAAAATTCGAAAATACTCAACGTTCAAAGAGATAGATAGAGATAGAAATATGTAAAGAGAGAAAAAAAGAGTGAGAGAAACGATCGATCGATTAACTCGTTACCACTTTTAGTTCTATTGCATTGGTCAATAAATAATGTGTCGATATTTGCAGTATTTTATATCTCGATAAACTAACAATAATAATTAAAATAAATAGTATTTTGATGTAACAACATTGTAGTATTTAAATTGATCGAATAATTTCGGAATTTTTTTTCATACAAAGTGGTATCTACTTTATTTGGACATAAGACGAAAATTCGAACAGTACTTACTAATTGAACAATTTAATTATACCGATGTATTCGTTACAAAAGATCAATATTTCGTTCGTTCAATTAGCAGCATTTTTTAAGGTTAGAATAGTTAACGTCTGGTTGATCCCTGATAGACGACCCTGATGGTAGAACAAATCTTGTAAGTAGAATTCTTTTCTGTATAGGGAGCAGGGTCTCGTTCTTTCAGATTGTCTCCGTTGTATATACTATATACATAGATACATGTATATATATATATATATATATATATATATA